GTGGAGTAGAAAAGGACCCTGCTCAGGCAGTGGGAAGGTGGGCGGATTAATTAAATGGGTGAGGTGTTCCCTTATGAAGGGTGCACTCTCTCTCTGTTGTCTCAAGGCCCTCCACGCAGCCCTTCCGCATCAGACCCATAGCAGCCCGACACTGATTTCTGTAAGGTTGAAGCCCAGTATCTCAGGGGCTGCCACAGACCAGAGGGAGGGGAATCAGACTTCACATTCGCTCAGGCCACAAAAGAAGACAGTTAGTCCTATAGATACACCTGACAGGGATCAAAACCTAAAGACGATTGTTCTAGTCTTTCTGTTGGAGGTTCCCTTGTTAAGACGGATGGAGATTTCTCTCCTAGACCTGAAGCGGAGTCCATCCTTTTCCTGACAACCCTGGATCTCTTAACCTAGGTTCTAACCGAGAGTCCTAATGATCAGACGCAAACTACTCTTTTAGTCAGTCCACGGAGCCCGCTACCACATACTGCCTTGAAGGAGCGCTGAACATAAGGTTCAGGCAGCCACTTCCGCTCACTTAGGGAGGTCCTTAGGTCCCAGTGGACTAGACACCAGGTGGGGGTGTCCCAGGTCCCTCTCCACTCCCCCCTCTAGCAACTTAGAGAGTTAGCCGGGGCTTCCGCAGCCCACCACCTCCCTCCTTGGGAGCCTAAAGGGAGGATCAGGTCAGGGCCTGGTGGTGGTCTCACCTGGGACGCCAGATTTGCTACCCGAAAGACCAGGGTTTGTTTGCCTGGCGAGTCACAAACAACTCTCCACAAGAGTGTGGGTCTTGATCAGTAGGAGTTTTTATTCCTTGTAGCAAGTTAAGGAGAGCCCCGGGAATATTTTCTAAAGCAGTGTCTCCCTGAGGGAAAGTGACATGGAGGTTTTTATGGGACAGCAGAGAAAGAAAAAGATGTGTCATATCACATGTAGGGGCGGGGTTCCCGTTGTGCATGTGTGTGGTTGCATGCTATGGTAATGAGGCTATAGTTTTTCCTGGGGTGGAGACCTTAGCATGGTAATGAGGAAAGTTTACTTGAGTTTATCTATAAGCAGCCAGGGTCTGTCAGGTGCTAGTTTTAGCCATCTGGGTAACCACAGACCTCACAAACAAAAAGGCTGTAAAACAGGTTGATTGTTCAAGTTGGTTGAATTTCTATAGTCCCTGGAGGCTTTCTCTTTTTACTTACACCAGGAGAAAATGAGAAGGTGAAAGATAAATGTCATCTATTTTGATCATTTTACTTAGCACTAAACCTATAAACAAGAGAAAGTCCTTAATAATCAAAAGAGACAGGAAGTTTGGGATAGTTCCCTGGCCCTTCCCAGAGCTCACCGAGACTGAGCAAATATGACGTTTTAGCCCAGGAACTTTTCACCTATATAAGCTGAAGGCTTCTCCAGAGTTTGAAAAGAAGGAACTGAACTCTTACCTGGAATTAGAGCAGCATGCTTCCACAGAGGGGGGGTGGAGTGGGATGGCTCAAGGACAACAGGACAATAGCCCTGCAAAATCTGGCTCCTGTTTCTCTGTGGCATAGATCAGCTCGGATTGCTGGTTAGGGCACATTTCTAGGCACAAAACATTTTCACTCTGCCCCTGTCGACCTGACCTCTGCCAGCTTAGGCAAAGGCCTGATGGAAATCGGCAGCTTCCTCAGACGGGTTGGAGTCACACTGCCTAGGGCCCGTCATGGTCTCTGGGCATGTCCACCAACCTGTGGGAGTTATTTATTAGTCAATTCAAGAAATGCCTGAGGGATGGAACTGGAGACCATCCTCCTAAGCAAATTATCACAAGAATGGAAAAACAAACACCACAGGTACTCACTATTAAGTTGGAACTAAATAATCAAAAAAAATATGAACCAGTATTATCATAATTAATGAGGGTATAATGGGTCATAATTTATTAAACCTTTTGCCTACTAAAAAAAAAGAAGAAAGGAAGAAATGCCTGAGGATTGAGCTTATCTTTAATGCCAGGTGAATCGATCACTTGCATTGAAGGTAAGTGCTTGGTTGGTATAGTGGTTCTAACCAATCTCATCTATTTAAGTCAGGAGTGACAAACTCCTGCCAGAGGTCCCTGACTGCTTTTGTATAGTCTCTGGGCTAAGGATGGCCTTTACCTTAAATGGTTGGGAAAAATCAATAAAGTAATAGTATTTTGTGACACATGAAAATTATACGGAGTTCATATTTCAGTGTCTATGAATGAAGTTTTATTGGAACACGGTCATGCCCAGATAATCTATGGATTATCTCTGCTTTTGCAGTATGACCGCAGAGCTGAACAGTTGCAACACAGGCTGTAGGGTCTGCAAAGCTGAAAACATTGACTATCTGGTCCTTTAAGAAAAAGTTTTCCATCCTCTGATTTAAAGAATAGAATTCTTTTGCAATTCAGGAATAGAGAAAAGTGCAAAAAAACAAAAGAAGTCCCTCAAAGATACTCTATAGAATAGAATAAAATATATGGCATGGAAAGTGCCTCTAATCTGAATGTATTGGTGATGTTGACGTGTTGATGTTCAGGGTGATTAGGGTGAAAAGGAGAAACCTGAAGATACAAAGATAAAATAACGTCCTGCAGCAAACCTGATTTAGAAGTACATCAAGGTCTCTCTACAGACAGCAACACCAATCTCTCAGTCCTTGAGTGTTGGTTGTTTTTCTCTTCATTTTTGAATTTATTTTTATTTTCCTGTTCACCTACCTTGTGTCTCTAACCACGAGGATATGAAGGTGTGCTTCAGGTTGTCGGGGATTTCGGGGAGACACACAGAAGGCCTCCTGTGAGCTGTGCCTGGCTCATGCCTAGGGCCCTGGTCTCCAGTACCTGAGAAGCAAAGAGCCATATCTTTTGCCTCCACAGGGCTACTTTGCAGGTTTTATGATGTCCTTAGCTCCAGGAAAAACTGCAGCATGTGCCCCGTGAGTTCCCTGCTCCCTGTGATTTGAACCAGCTTGCCCCTGGTATCATGCTGTGGGGGGCACTCTCACACCTAAGATGATTGGCCTTCTAGGAATAGCTTGACAGCTTATGGACAGTAAGGCCATGGGAGTCGGGCAGAGCAGCTTGCAGAGTTAAGATCATGTATAGTGGGTGGCCAGGGAGAAATGCCTTCATGAGGGAGTGGCAGATGGCAGGTATAACATTAGCACAAACGACTACTGGTCTTTCATTCTTACAGCTTTCCCTGAACCCTGAGTGCAGCTGTCAAACTACGCTGGTGAGACCCACTCTGAAAGAAGGCACAGGCCAGGACTTGCCAACTGAGGGTCTGAGTGGGTTGGCACAGGGCTCATGAGCTGTTTTCAGTATTTCCAGAAGTGAGATGAAAAGGACACATTTGCCCAAAAGCTTTGCAGGTAGAGAAAATGTCAAGTTCCTTTTTTTTTTCAAACTGGAATCATGAGTACTGTGTGAGACAAGGGGGAGAAGGAACTTGCTTTGGTTGAACTCCCACCATCTGCCGACCCTGTGGGATATTTATTATTTCTACCACTTTTTAAAATGAGGAAATAGAGATTCAGAGAATAACTTAGCCAGAGTCACACAGCTTGTTACAGTAGAACTTGCATTTGTGCAATCTGTCTCACTCCAGGACCCTGTTCCTTTATGCCATGTTTCCTCAGCCCTTCCTGCAGCTTGGGCCGGAGGCTGACATGGATTTGATTTAAAAACAGGAAAATACTTACTAGATGTTTGGTAGAAAAATCTTTCAAAATATGGAATCCACAGAGAGGGAGGAAATCAGAGGATGTAGTTCTAAAAATGCTGGGTATCACCATGAAACCCCTTTACATAGCATTACACTGTGCAGTTCCCTAATAAGCAGTTCCACTGGTAGGGTAGAGGTGAGTCCTGGGAAGGACAGTGATCTAGACTGAGGCATTGGGAAAGGGAGAAAAGGAATAACCCATGTGATCAATGGCGGTGCCTATAATCTGACTCTGGTCTCTCTCCAGAGAGTGCCTCATACTCTATGATTCTGTAGCAGTGACATTTACATCTGAACTACATTGATAGTTTGGAATAGTCTCCAAGTAGCCACAAATTAATAGACCTAGTGTGTGCACAAAGCTGTGTTTGGTACTCTAAAACTCTGCCAAGAATTGTGTTCACGTCTAGCATTTGGTCGTTCCAAAGTTCTATACAAACTTTGTATAGAACAGTCAAGGACTGAACAAGTAAGATGTGAACAAAGCTGAGCCCAGAGGCAGAGAGAGAGAGAGAAAGAGAGAGAATTCCATGGATGGTGACAAACATGAGCAGGAATGAAGGAGAAGGAGCCAACCAGGGAGAGGTTGTGCCAGGATACTCTGCTTCTGTGCTCTTGTTTTAGGACGAAAATAGCTGTTTCTGTTAGAATCTTTTGCTTTGTGGCACCATCATTTTAAGAGGACATATATACCCCATAGGTGCCATAAGAGAGATGTGTACATATTATATAAAGTGCCTCGGGAGCTTAAAGGAAGGTGTGAAGCAGCCGTGCCCCTCCTGGCCCTACTAGGCTGGAAGGTCAGAGCCCATGGGAGACTCACCTTTGCATCTCAGACCGTTCCTTGGCAGGGCCCCCTGAGTGTCATCACAAAACACGTGAAAAAGGAGAAACAGGAGAAAACGTTTATATATCCTTTGGGCAACTTCAAATGATGGCAAGCTCCATCCTTGAGCTATCATGATAAATCAATTATTTTATCCATGGTCTGAGTATATCACAGTACTCAACTGTCTTTTGTTAATTCTCATTAAAATATAAAAGGGTGGTATGATTTTTATACTAGTATAATTGTTCAATGTGCAAATATAGAGCTCCCTTTATCTGTCTTTGAACTCAAGTTCCTAAGTCCTTAACTTCCGCCTGGTGGCAAAAAGACTAAACTTTCCAAAGCCCTGTCATTGAGGCACACTTGGAGTTTACACATGATCAGTTTGAGATTTAAAATCAGTGAATTCAAGCTTCTTCCCTCGTCTTTTTGTTTTAACTGCTTCCTCTTCATCCTGTTGAGGAGGGAAGGATCCACTCCAGGATCATGGGGATGGCTGCGCATGCGACACCTGACACTGGACAGACGGGATCAACTGCAGTGTATTAGTCACAGATGCAGTCCAGGGGAAGAGGACGTTGTATGCCGCACAGGGCCACTTGGGAGCAGAGCGAACAAGCAGGGGCTATGGGAGGCCGGCTTTGTAATGTCGAGGGAGTGTGAGATTCCTTGGTTCCCACAGGAGGACGTGACTGGTTTACTTGAATAATTCCATGGTCTAGCAGGGAACTGAAACCACTACTCAGGGAGGAGCAGGAACTGCACCTGGTCCCTTTGATAAGGAGGGTTATTAAACTAGGAGACCTTACCTTTGGGAGCAGAGTTGAAGGGGGGGCCTTGTGGTTAGATCATTCTGGGCTCTTACGATTTTTGCAGATGTCAAGACAGCACGTAATATTGAACCTTAAGTTTGGGCCTCAAACTACACCCCTTTTTCTTCTCCATTCCTCTCAGAGGTGATCTAAGTTCCTGGGGTGCTTGTAAATCATCCTGGCAGTCAGGGAGGAGCAGCCACTTCCCCCATCTCTGTTGTGGGTTAGCTGGCTCATCCTCAGGCCTCTTCTGGTTGGCCTGCTGTTCGGCACCCTCCTGGACACCCACTTGTGGGGGCTCAGGAACTCCCAGGTCTTTCTCCCCACTTTGAGGGTCTGCTAGTCTCTGGGAGGCCACGTTATTCCTGTCAGTTTTGACATCTCCCTCAGCCATTGCTAATCCCCTTCACTTTGGTGTCTGCTATATGTGGGACTTGGGCCACTTCTTGGGGGTCCAGGCAAAAGGTGCCTTCTGCTCTGGGAAACCCTCCCCTCAACTTATCCTGTATCAGCATCTTTTCTTAGGCATCCGCTAGAACCAAGCTCTAGAAATAGTCTTTCCTTGCTTGTTAAACTCTTATTTCCTTTTGGGCAAGAAAATCATTCTAATTTATCATGCATACTTCCATCTTTCTGACTTATGGTATAAATTTCATGCTCTGGTCTTCAGGGTTTGTGGTTTTTGATATACAAAGCCAAGTTTTGTTTAAAACAAAACAAAAATTTTTCTCTCCCAAACATCAAGAAGGTTTAAAATTTAAAATTTAAAATTGGGTTTACATATCAAGAACTGTCATTTTAGCTATTGGTCTTAAAATAATCAATTCAACAAACAATTGATATCTTTTTTTCTAGAGTTACAGCTGACTGTCCAATTCAGTAGCCATGTATGGCTATTTAATTTAATATTAATTTAAATGAAATAAAATTAAAAATTCAATCCCTCAGTCACAGTAATCACATTTCGAGTGCTCAACAGCCACGTGTAGCCAGTGGCTACTATATTGACAGTGCAAATATGGAACATTTCCACCCCTGCAGAAAGTTCTATGGGACAGCGCTAGTCTAGAGTATTAATACATCAACTTTCCCCTTGAGGGCTGTGTTAAGAGGGGAACAGGGAAGATATGGTTGAGAAAGAAACCTCTTAACATCTCAAAATGTTATCTTGCTTCAGTATCTTTGAAGAAAATGTTGAGCTTTAGAAGCTCAAGTGACTGCTTTTAATGAAATTTCCCACCATGTTTTGGTAGAAGAACATTTTTGGCAGCTGGAAACGTTCCTGCCTATCAGTCTGTCACAGACGGCATGTACCATGGGCTGCCCCCACTGAGCAACTCCCTCCTGAAGAGCATTTTTGCTTCACAGCTCAGCCTGCCCCAGCCACTGGATCCGCGGAGCCCCCAGGTGTGTTTCAGAGGTATTTTTATACTTCTAAAAGGTGTGTTGTGAGTAGGAGATTTTGTCACTTTGTTTCCATTTGGTTTAAATTTTGCAGGGGCTCTTAATGCTTTAATGCCCTCAGTGGAGCAGTGCAGGCCCCAAGGCCAGCTCTTAATCCTCGAGTCTTCTCCAAACACTCAACAGGCTGATCCAGGCAACAGCTTGTCTGCTCACAGCTGGTAGCAAAAGAAACACTTAATCTTTTCCATTTAATAAACAGTCATGACGGCAATGACAATACATAAATTAGATCGGCAGCTGAGCTTTGAATAGCCCCGTTTACAACATGTGTTATTGAATGTAATCCTGGCAACTCCTGTGGCTCCTAGGCAGAAGCAATATTACCCACCTTCTGCAATTAGAGTTCAAGGGTCAGGAAAGCCAGAGATCAGACTATGGGAGAGTCATGGCAGCACCAGGTCGCAAACTGTATTAGTTATCTAAGGCTGCATAACAAATTACCCCAAAATTTAGCAGATTAGAATAATAAACATTCATTATCTCACACAGTTTCTGAGGATCAGGAATCTGGGAGCAGCTCAGGTGAGTAGTTCCGGCTCAGTGTCTCTCACAAGGTGTTGGCCAGGGCTGTAAGCATCTCAGGGCTCTACTGAAGGACATTCTGCTTCCAAGCTCACTAACGTGGCTGTTGGTAGCACCAGAAGATCCACTTGCAAGCTTATTCATGTGGGCTGCTCCACAGAGCTTCCTTACAACGTGGCAGATGGCTTCCCAGAGCAAATAGTCCAAGAGAGAGCAAGAGAGAGAACCCAAGACGAAAGTCAGTCTTATTACTGAATTTCAGAAGTGACATCCCATCACTTCTGCCTTATTGTATTTATTAGAAGTGAGTCACTAAGTCCAGCCCATCCAAGAATTAAGCTCCACCTCTTTTCGGGAAGAGTATCAAAGAATTTGTGGACATATCTAGAAAACCACATCACAATCCCAGGTCTTTTGCCTCCAAAACCTCTGACTTAATGTGCTGATGTTATAAAGCTAAGCCAAGTAACACCAGCATCAACCCCAGGAAAGTCCCACATTTCAACCTTCATTGGCTCAATCCTTGACCACCATTTAGACCCAGAATGGGGTTGGATGGTGACTGCTGCTCCTGCTGCCTTTGGATGTTGCCTGGGATTAGGTGGATACAGAGTCCTGGCTCCTGGCTATCAGGATCAACTCCAACTCCAGGAATTGACTAAAGCCAGAACCAGGTCTGAAAGTGTAGAATAGGGTCAGATAGGCAGGCCCACTAGCTCCAGGGCTGTACCTGGTGCTGCAAGGGATAGGGGATGCCTTGGCTGTTGGACAGCGATGTGGAGAAGACAGAGACCCATATGCACCTAGAATTGGGGCACAATGGTGATGAAAGACAACTTTTTAAGGTTCCTAAGATTGAGAGCATTTGGGTAAGTTTATTTTTACTGATCATAAATTTGTCCCATTGGTGTTATACTATTCTGGAACTTCTGAACACTGGTGCTGATTAGTTACACTGAAACCTTAAGTACTCTTGTGTTTCACCATCTGCTGAGAAAACAGTGTAAAAAAATAGATTATTACTCTCTCTTCTACCTATCTATCAAGAAATATTTCCATATAAATAAATTATCCAACAGTGTTTTGGGGTGCAGACACAGATACCCTATTCATATACAGATGTCTATTATTTATGAACATAATACAGCATTATTATGTTTATTATTTGGTTCTTTTAGGCATTTGTGCTGTTCCCTTGGAGAGCATTTCTGGAAGATGGAGGACCATTCCCAGTTATGAGTAGCAGCCCAGATACTCTAGAATATAACATGCAGGTAGGATTGGTCTTCCCTATGCTTGCAGAGAGAACTGAAAGCAGACTGCAAAGCAGGGTGTCATTGGGTCCACAGGTCAGATCCTCCATACTCTCGCCAGGGATGAATAATTTGTGAGATAAGCAGGGTGTTTGGTTATGAAGCTGTAAACCTGGTGCCCCAGGTGGGTCATGTTGTCTAACGACAGGAGAGAATCATGGTTCAGCTGGTATCAGCCTTGGCTGTAGACTCAGCTGAAGTTCTCGTGGCAGTAGTGGTCTGGGAGAGTGGCTGTCACCCCCTGAGCCTCTTAGGGAAACTGGCAGCTCAGAGGCGGGTGACTCCTGATCCGTCTACAAGCAGTGGTGGGAAGGGAACTTTTTAAACAGGACTCATAAAGAGAATTTCTTTTTATTGTTTTATTTTCCATTGTTAACTTCTTTTAATTCTTTTAAGTTGTTAGTTTTAATTATTATATGTTTTCCCCTGATTATTTAAGTAAATATTGTTGTATTTTATTTTAAAAAATAGAAAATATAGAAAAGTGTTAAGAACAACATAAAAATCAACTATAAATTCGTTTCAAAATACTATGGAGGTGGGGAGTGGATGGGATGGAGCAGGACTGGCCATAGGTGGATGGATGGTTTGGGGGGCTGGGTGATGGCAACTTTTGTTTGCTTTTCTATATGTTCAAAATTCTCCATAAGTGAGAAGATTTTTTTAAAGTAAAATAGGAAAAGTGGTTTAAAAAAAATCAATAATAATCCCAACACTAAGAGACAATTACAGTTCACATTTTGTTTTTTTCCCCAGTATTTTCCCTATGTATATATGTAATTGATATCACACTGTACATTCACCATGTACAGATCTGCTGTAAGGGCTGGGAAACTTGGTTCTGCTGTACAGAGCCAAAATTCTGATATGGTTAAGGAAGGTGTTAAGCTAGAAATGTGACTCTGGTTTTTACAGATTTGCTATAGTTGAGAGGGTGGGGCTTGTACATACAGTTTCTCCTAGTTTTCTTTCCCAAAACCATATGTAAAGGATACACAGACGTCTGGACATGGAGGGTGGGTTTGTTTGTTTTTAGCTGTGCCTCTGTGGGCTGAGTGACAGTGACCGCAAGGTGGCTCATGGAGAGCTGGAGGGCATGCAACTGCTAATGGACAATGTGCTGAGCAGCTATCACATGACCACGGAGGGGGCCCCAGGACGGCAAGCCACACTGGACAGAAACACACAGGTATTCTTGGCAAATAGTCTCCATCATTGACCAGTGCTGTACTGTACTGAAGGACCGTCCTATTTGGGAGATGGGTTAGAGAGCCATGTCTTTTCAACAGCCTCTCCCAGTGGGTCCCAGGACTGTGCTAATGCCACATGGGAGCAACAATGAAGCAGGGGGAATCCATGAAAGCCACTCCATAGAATTTTCTTTCACAGTAAGTTCGAAGATCAGTGATATAACCATTTCTTTTCATTTTAAAAGAGGACAAATGTTATAAGAGGTCTATTGAAACCAAATGAAACATATACTCCAACCAATGCTTCCTTGTGAGTCACACATTTAGGGCTGGAGCTGGAAGGGCCAAAGGGGTATATAATACATTAGAAGCCCCAGGTGAACATTTCAGGCCTTGGCTCTCATCCTCATTGTTCAAGTAGCCCATGGACTCCAAGGCAAGCACTGCCTCCTCTGGACTTATCCCTTAGCCCAGAATACTATTAATACTATTACTGCTATTGCCTGTGAGTTGAGGTCTGTTCAGTGTGCTTTTTATGTATTAATTTATTTAATCCTCGTAATAATTTCATGAGGTAGGTACTTTCATTATCTCATTTTACAGATAAGAATACCAAGGCTCAGAGAGGTTAAGTAGCATGGCCAAAGTCACATGGTTAGTGAGGAGAGAAACTCAGATTCCAACTCGACAGTCTGGCCCTGGGGCTCCCTCATACTCTTATCTTCTATGTTGCCCCGTTGCTTGTCCTCTCCTTAGGCAAACCCATCTACTTTTATGACTTTGAGGGCATTTTTATGCGATGACTCCAAAATCTATATGTCTAGCCCACATATCAATCCTAGCAGATTCATATGTTGACCTGCCTGCTGGAAATCTCCACTTGTTCCGCCCCAGAGACAGCGTGTCCTAAGCTGAATTCATTTTACTGCTCTAAAACTTGCTGCTCCTCCTGTGTTTCCTGTCAGTTCACCACCATCTGCCTAGTTGCCCAAGCCAAAAACTCTGAGTACCATTTTTTTTTGAGACAGGATCTCACTCTGTCACCCAGGCTGGAGTGTAGTGGTGTCATCATAGCTCACAACAACCTCAAACTCCTTGGTTCAAGCGATCCTCCTACCTCAGCCTCCTGAGTAGCCAGGACTACAGGCACGTGTCACCACGCCTGGCTAATTTTTTTTTTTTTTGTAAAGACGAGGTCTCGCTGTGTTGCTTGGGCTAATCTTGTACTCCTGGGCTCAAGATCCTCCCACCTTGGCCTCCCAAAGTGCTGATATTACAGACATGAGTCACCACACCTGGCCCATTTTTAACTTCTATCACACCCCACGAGACATCAAGTTTTATTGTCCTATTATTTTAATATCTCTCAAGTTTGTCTACTTTCTCCATCTTCCCTCACCACCCTCTTCCACCAGTCCAAAGCATCATCATCTCCTATTTCTGGGCTGTGATCATAACCTCCAGTTGGATTCTATACACTTACTTTCAACTCCTTCCAATCCATTCACCGGGGTAATGTTTTTAAATGCAAACATGATTATGTCACTTCCCTCCTCATAACCTTCCATGGCTTCCAAATGCCCTGGGGAGTCCAAATGCCTTAACCAGAACTTCATGACTCAGCTCCCACCAGTGTGTCTACCTTCAGCTTCTTCCAGTTTGTCAAATGCACCGTGGTCTCTTCTGTCCCTTCTTGCAAACTGGTGGAAAACCTCCCTCTCCTCCCTCTTTCTACCTTGTCTCCTGATTAACTCCTACTCATCCTTCAGATTTCAACTTCCCAACCACCCTCTTTAGGAAGCTTTCTCTGATCCTCCACCTTTGAGCTGATGTTCCTCTGTGCCAATTAGAGTGCTGCTGCTGCAAGTATTAATAACAGGTTGTCCCACTAGCCATAATTTAAATTAAAGAAGTGTACTAATCTTGCATCACAGGAAGTTGAGAGGGAGGCAGTGCAGGTTGGTGCAGCCATTCAACAGTTACCTCAAGGAGTCAAGCTCTGCCCTCTGGGGGTGTCAGAAAATGTCTCCCTCATCCTCCTAAGATGAAAACAAGAGCGAAAAAGCTTTCTCCTTGAGGAACTCCATCTTTTCATCAAGGAGGAAAATATTTTCCAGAAGCCTCCAATAGATTTCCCTTGTGTCTTTTTGGCTAAAACTGAGTCACAAGTCCACTTCAGGCTAATCAGTAGAAAAAGAAGTGGGCTTGTATGTGCCATCTAAATTTCACCATTAGGCATTTCACCCAGTGGATCATTTGCAAAGCTGGGTATAGACCAAGTAGTGCCAAGATTAAGAGATGTGTTGGGCCCTTTGGTCCCTCTGTTTGCCACTTTTCAGCCTTGTGTCTGATGCATTACTATCTTTTCCTGACACCCCACACCAACTCCCACATTGTTCTTTATCCTGTCTCCTGTCCCTTCTCCCATGCTTTAAAACACTTAGGTAGAGAAGACTTCTCTTAATACGAACATATTAACAAGTTTGCTTTAATATTATTATTCATTTTAATTAGTGTTATTTTACAGTATGCTTTTATTCAGGAGTATTTAGCTATTCATAGACAATAGGAAGCACTAGGACTCATACTGCCCTGAGAATCAGGACCCCTGGGACAAGTTGTGTGATCTCTCTAGGCCTCAGTCTGCAAAGCTCCAAAGTGAAAGTGACAGATTAGCTCAGGACCTTTAAAATTGTGGTCCAAGGAGTCCTGGGGTTCCTCAGAGACTCTCTGGGGCTTTTTGAGCAGAGGGGACCAATTATGTGGCCTCTAGGCTGCCCCCTCTTACCATGCTTGGCTTTGGTCTGTTGAATATTTTGGGCCACTTCCCAGATTTCATTTGATGAAAGGGTTCTGAGTATAAAATACAATCTGGAAATCCACGGAGAAGCTGATTGCTGAGGGGGCAGGACACAAGATAGAGGGGTTGCCAGCTGTCTATAGGAGTCACCCTCGTCTGGGTCTTGCTTGACAGTTCTTCCAGGGACACTCAGACCAACTCTTTTCCTGGCAGACAAGCCTTTCTTATACATGTTAATAGCACTGATGAGAATCCAGTTTTTCTAGGTTGTTCTTCCTGTTTCTAGCCAGGAAACTTGAGTGTCTAAGGTATTGTCACCTGAATGTTCTCTGAGGCTCTTCTTGTCATAACATCATGGGATTTGCCATCCTGGTGTGCCAAAGACAGCTCCCTTTTCTGTGGCTTAGACACTGTGGGCAGGCTGAGGGCCTGGAGTCAGGTCCCCATTGTGTCCATTGCTCTCTGGGTAACTCTGGCCCTCACACTGCTGGCTGCAGGAGAGCAGAGATCTGAACACCTTGTTTCCTCCGCATCCTCCAGGCTGCATGTAAAAGTTATCCTCTATTAGTTCATGGTCAATAAAGAAGGATTTCTGTAATGCTTTCAGCCAGATCAGTCCACAGTGCCAGGATTCAGAAGTCAGTTTCGAAGTAGCCCAAAGACATCCAACCTGCTGGAGGGCCCATGCGATACAGTGATGTCCCTTGCTTTGTTGAGATCATTTCTGATACTGTGGAAGCAGCTGGAAGTACTAAAGGAGCACTGGGGCCGACTCAAGCTGCAAGGCCAGGACATCAACTCTGTCTCTCTCTACAAACAATTCTCAGAGCTCTACGAGTGAGTGTCGCTGAGGGTCGCTAAGGCCGAAATTCACATCAGTGACTGGAACCTGGGGGTGGGCAGATCCCAGCCCCTTGATCTGAGGGTGAAGTTTAGTCCATGAATCCTGGTACACCCAGCTCCACTGAGTCCAGTAGAAGCCGGCAGTGTTCTCTACAAATAGTGCTTTACGGGGAAAGCCGGGTTGTATTCACTGTGGGGACAGGGCTGGATTCCACTGAGCTGTACTGTGTATCTTTTACCTGTTCCTAGAGTCATCCCTAGGAACTTGAGCTTATGAAATGACTCTACAGTGCTGACTCTAAGCTTTTTAGCTCCTAGGATCCCGGGGAACACTGGGTGGAGAGCTGCTGTTCACTTGCTGCCTCGTTAGACCCCAGGGCTGAGTCTCTGAGAGCGTACAGCACGGCCGCCAGAGGTGTGCTACAGTGCGAGCAGCTTAGGGGGCCTTAGGGCTGCCGGATGGTGGGGCATTCTAGCAGCCCAGGCCTTGGCTGGGATGACTTAGCTGGCAGGAAAGATACGTTGCTTCTGCCATGTGTCTGTTACAAACCAGAATTTACTAAGCACCCACCCACTCCCTGGACCTTACTAAACTTAAAAAGGTTCACTTTGGCGTAGCCGGGTTGTCTATCTTGCGAAGTTATTACAGTCAGTTTTCCTGATAACTAGGGAATGAGAAGGCGTGTCAGTATTTTGAAGGATGAAGACCGAAATTACATGCACCTGATGGGAGAAAGCCTCAGGGTTTCACATTGACTAAGGGAGTGGCAGCTGTGATGAATTTAGATGTTGATGTGAGTGTCTGTGAAGGGGTTGGGAGGTTTATATGTTGCAATAGGAACTGGAAAATCAATGAAAATAATTGACCGAGAATCAGAATGAGAAAATAAATATGTTTGTTTGCTAATTTCTGTCTTTCTTCCTTAATAGAAGTGACATTCTCTACCCCAGCATGAAAGTTTTAGCCAGGCAGATGGGGAAAGAAGACGAATTTGAAGTACTTACAATAAATAGTGAGTCTATTCTTCCCCCAAAAGGAGCTTCAGAAATTGAAATAAAAGCTCAGCAGGTATGCAGGAGCTACTTTGAATTTGCCTTTGAAAACTTGCTTTATGGCATTAGCATGTAAAACCACAGATATACCCAAATGGTGTTTTTGTCTAAGAAGTTAGGTATAAATGGAAGGGTTGTAAATCATTGAACAGGCTGGGGTGGGGCGGGGGAGGGCGGTACTTAGTATTTAAAGGCATGTGGGTCTTTGATTAAGCAAATAACTGCCCCTGAATGTTTCAGTTCTGTAAGTCTAGATTTTCATTATTTTGATTTTCCTCAAATTGAGGTGCACCTTCACAAGAAAGGCAATAGAAAATGTAACCACTACTATCTTAAACATAAAACCTAACACACAAGTAGCCACGTGGAAATGAAATATTTTAAAAAGCTCTTTAGAATTGTTTTTCTGAGAATAAGAAAATGCAATTTATGCACTAGGCCATTTGGTGTGTGTTAGATGATCTGTGTGGAGAGAAGTTGTTTTCCCGTCTTTGCTCAGCTTGGTCCTGGGCACAGGCTCTCCACCACTGGGCTTATTGGAGCAGCAAAGCCTCTGGCTGTTGGTTTCAGTGCAGAGATGCGTGTCCACTGAGCCACAAGGAGAATTCAGCCCTGGGGCCACGCCCATTGCTTACTCTTCTGAACTCGGGTTCCTCCGGGGTCCTTCTGCAGAGAGAAACATGGGCCCCACAAGCACTATGGCTAGAGTGAGGGCTCACCCTTAGTGGAACAGAGTTTTCTCTTGGTTGTGTATGCAGTTTTAAATCTTCTTGTGAAATCCTCCTTAGTATCTAAATCAACTTTCAGACCTGAGAGCTTCTCTTATAAAGACAGCTCACAAAATCCTGGCCACATTTAGAAACTCCGAAAGACATGAGGTCACCTCAGGCATTGAACACTTTCAATGTAGCAGAATTTGGTAAAAAAAAGGTTGTATTTTATCAAACAGGATATGGGCCAGAAAGAAAAGATATTGGTCTCCAAAAAGGTCTATCTACCTCCTGGAAACACCAGGGAGCCCTAGAATGGAAGCCCTCCTTTTTCCTGGGGAGAGAGTAGCCGAGCAACAGGACCTAGCCCAAAGCCCTTCTGTGGGAGTTTGACTGAGGCACCCAAAGTGCAAGCTGAATGTGGAGAGTGACCTTTGACCTATGCTTACTCTAGCTTCAGAAGATTCTGGAAAATTTTGAAATTCATATGATCCAGGAGGTATTGAGAAAAGTTAACAGAGAGATGACACTGGTTTTATCAGAAAAATCCAAGCAGGCATGTACTCTCCCTACAGGTAAAGTGTGCTTATTTTGTTACTTCACAAAATAACTATTGGTTTTTCCTAATTATAAAAACAATCAATGTATTCACATTCATTGATTAAAACAAAACAAAACACCACTGCAATGTCCAGAAAATGATATAAAAATTACTTGTAACACCTCAACCCAGAGAGAAGTACTATTAACACTTTGGCGTATTTCATTGCACTCAAAAGGCTTAAAACATACTCTGATTTCAGTCTCAACTCTGCTGATTAGCTCAGAACTGAAGTCAAGTTGAAATGAGGGAAACAAATAAAGCCCTTCTTATTTGTAATATATATAAGTATATACATGTGTCAAAATCTCACAAATACGTATATTTAGGGTGGCAAGGCAATCAACATTTTCTCCTTTCATCTGAGGTCAAAACTCAGGGCCAGAGGCGCACTTGGGCTTTCACGTTCTGTGGTCACCATCTTGAAACTCTTAATAATTTTAACTTGGAATTTGTGCTTTATAAGTGAGGTCCAGTGAGTCAATGGAACACAGGCCGCCCAGGCTTGGAGCCTTGACTCACGCACAGTCCCACCTCCTGCTGCCTCCCAACCTCTTCTGGAGGGCTTCTCAGCCACCTGCTGTCTGGCATCCTGGGTGTCTCTAACCTCCCCATCCCCAGACCCACCCAGTAATTACTGTCACCCTCCACCCCCTGTAAGAACCTAGGCATGGGCATGTGCACCTGGCAGTGTCTCAGGAACCCCAAGCTGGCAGTACCATGATGTGTTCAACAGGTGACTCAGTGAAGACAAGCCTCTTGCCCACTCCTGGGTACCTAGAATCCCCCGGACTGAGGTTGCAATACCCTTGGGGGCTGCCTCTCCATAGTGGATTGGGGCAGTGGGCCTGTGGGAAGGGGAGATGCCTGGTTCAACCTTTCCACCCCTGGCCAGGCATGGTGCCTTGGTCTGGTGGCTGGTACACTGAGTCACAGGCAGGGCCGCTGGTGCTTACAAGGATCTCACTTGCCCTGCACAAGGGAGTGCAACATTGAAAGCAAATAAAAACACTATGACAGGTCAAGAGAGAGACTGCAGAAGAAAGGGAAAAGGTTTATATTTTAATAACTGTAGCAACCCTTTTTCCTGCTAGTTTGAACAAGAGGCCCTACATTTTTATTTTGCACCTGGCCCCACAGATTACGTAGCTAGTCCTGTTGGAACTACAATGTCTATTCCTAACTCCTAATAATTCTGTAGGAAAATCCATAACCTTTGAGCTAGCGAGGAGTTGTCTTACTAGCAAAATAAATTTGGTTTTCCTTTTAAGACAAAGTCCACAGACATCGTAATGTTAATTAATAACCTCAGTGCTCACCTGAGTCATTGTAATTTTATCAGTGCTTGGAGTAACTGGATTCGGTTGGCTGGGCTTTGGGAAAAGGCTGTGCAATGGCAAGGCAGGCCTCTCCTCAGCTGGGCGTGTCTAAATGTCACCAAAGAGCCGAGTGGGGTTGAGCTCTAGTTACAGAACATTTAACAAGACACAAAGCGCCTGTTGTATGTGCTGTGTTTGCTGCATCCAGGCGGCTCCCTTCTGAGTCCTTGGAGAAAATCCACAAGCACGCGGCAGGTGTAACCATCTGCACATTTCGGAGCTGTGGTTCTCATGAGACGCCCAGGGTGAGGGGTTGGGGGAAGCATCTTTGCTTTGTGGTTGTGCTGCCTCGTGCAGGGTGCCTGTCAGCTGTGCTTGAAAAGGGCCTTGAATACGGGGCCAGTCGGGGGCCAGGCAGAGGGGAGGGATAGAGTTATTTTTAGTGGTGATAGTAAGGTTGATATTACCAAACCTGACTTTGGCTGGAATATACTGGCCAATTCTAAACTCTCATTTGGAGTCTATACTTATGAAACTTTTAAAATAAATGCCAACATTGAGGGGGGGTTTTGTTGTTTTTTGATTTTGTTTTGGTTTGATCTTTGGTCTGTTGAGCATGACTCAATGTGGAAACCTGGGTCTCCTCTACTGAGTTCTCCTAATGCAAGTGACTAAGTCCCCACTGCGTGCCAACGGTACTTTTTTCATATATGCATTTCTTCAATTTAATCTTCTTGAGACCGCTATGGGCTGGGTACCTTTGAAGAAGGCAATAAAACCTTGGAATCTGTACCCACCTACTGTTTATCTCACAAGTGGCCATAGTGGATGGGGCTTCCAAACAGGGGCCGCTTCTTCATGCAGAGATCACCTTTTGTGGTCAAGGTTAGTTTGGGGCTGGGGGTTTCTCCAGAGGGAGTTAGGAATGGAGAGTATCGAGGGGGACAGCAAAGGTTCTTGTCCTTTCCCTTGGGGTCTCCTCTTTCCCTGCTGGGCCACTGTGATGTCTACATTTATACCTGCCGAAAAGGAACCCTGGAATGTTCCCCTCCCTCTACCTCCTTCCTTCCTCCCCACGTGTCTTGGAGCTTAATCCTTTCATACAGCTTCTGAATGAGTTTCCAGTTTGTCAGTAGCCTCTGAAAAATGAGGCATCCAGCCCTGGCCCTGGTGCTAGGTCTTGGTAGCTGAACTGGTACTCCCCTAGAACTAGCAGCAGCAGCTCCAGGCATCCTTGCTCAGCCTCAGAGTTTGCCTTAGCAGAGAGACGGGCTCTACTGCCATGCCCCATCTTTGACATTTTGGCATTAAAATGATTTTTAATTGATTTTTTAATTTTCTCTGAGCAGTTTTAAGGCCAACAGTCTCCAGAGTAGAATGCATGTGTCCCATGGTGTGGGAAGAAAATATTAGAACTTCTAAATAGATTAAGTGCACATGTAAGGAGTCATATGTCACACTCTACATTGAGATGTCCTAAAGTGACCATACGAAGGCCATTCTTATTTTTCTAATAAGGAGATAGTAGAGGTGACACTTCTAATCCTGATGTATGTGCTTATCCTCAGCCACATGATGAGGTTAAAAAAGATAATCTAATCGCATCTGATAAGAAATCAGACAAGAAGTTTTAAAAGGTCAAGGAAACCACTGGGAATGTGGATTGAGATCTATTCTCATTGTTGATGAACCTCACCCTATATACATCGTGCGTTGTGATATTAGCTAGTGATAGTACTGTAGGTAGTTATGAATCATATAAATAAAATAAAACATAAAAATATATAATAGAAATATAAATATGCACATAGTAAAGGTGACTGATCAAAAATGTTTTTACTTCAGAAAAGCATTGTCAAAACAGTTAGAAGAGCATGGTGTCAGCCAGCGTTTCCCCGGCAGTGCACCATGGAACACCAGCTCCTCAGCATATTAAAGCAGTAGTTCTTTCGACCACTCTTCACCAACAGACTCTTGGATTACCTGAGCTTTCCAGTCCCTTGGTAACACAACCCAACAAAGTATCACTCACCACAGTCTTTGGGCTGCCTATGTTTGCCTAACATCATTGATCAGTGTTTGCTCCAAGTCTGTTTATGCTGGTTTTGCTTGTTATTGAGTTGAGTAATTTAATTAAAAATTATGCAAACCAATTATATAGGAGTACAAAAGGAAAGAGATCTGTTGGTTCTATAAAAACTAAGTTGAAATAGATAAACTGTGGTACACCCAGTCAAATGGAGTATTATTAAACATTACAAAGAAATGAGCTATCAACCCATGAGAAGACCTGGAGGAAGCTTAAGTGCATGTGACTAAGTGAAAGAAGCCAACTGGAAAAGGCAACATATGGTATGATTCCAACTATGACATTCTGGAAAAAGCAAAACTGTGGAGACAGTAAAAAGATCAGCGGTTGCCAGGGTTTAGGGAGGGGTGAACAGAGAGAGCACAGAGGGTTTTTAGTGCAGTGAAACTACTCTGCATGATGCTACAGTGGCGGGTACGTGTCATCATATATTTTTCAAAATCCATAGAATGTACAACACCCAGAGTGAACCATAATGCAAACTATGAACTTTGGGTGATAGTGCTGTATCAATGTAGGTTCTTTGATTGCAACCAGTGTACCACCCTGGGGCAGGATGTTGGTGGTAGAAGACACTGAGTGTGAGAGGACTGGGGGCTTATGGGAACTCGATACTTTCTCCTCAATTTTACTATGAACCTAAAACTGCTCTTAAAAATTAAATTTAAGAAAAGAAAACACGTTTAAATAACTAAGTTGAAAGTTTTGAAAAAACTCGAAAAAGGCTAGTTGTTTAGAAAAAGGAAAGTTATCAAATTGGTTATAAGACAGATGACTGAAAAAATTAGGCTAAATTGTGAAAACATATAAAACAATACATTTGAATTTTCATGGTCTTTAATTTCTCTCCCTAAAAACAAACAAAACTAGGAATTGTAGACCATGCACTATATATTATGGTTTATAGAAGAAAGATGGTACAGAACTCCAGTTAGTGGGTATGTACAAAGAAAAGACCTGGGCTCTATGTTAGATGATTGGCAAATGTTCGTAAATTTATGTATTTTGCAGTTAAATAAAATGTTCGAGATAGCACATGTCCTTTGTAAAGCTTTCTCTGCTTTAACTGTCTTCTTTTGATTAACCAACCAAATCTTAGTCTTGATTGCATTGGATAGGAAGATTTCTACTGTGTTTTTCAGGGGTCAGGGAAGAAGGGTTTTAATTATTTGTTTTTTTATCAAAATAAGTTTGGGAGGCTGGGCGTGGTGGCTCATGCCTGTAATCCTAGCACTCTGGGAGGCTGAGGCATGAGGATTGCTTGAGCTCAGAAGTTCGAGACCAGCCTGACCAAGAGCGAGACCCCGTCTCTACTATAAATAGAAATAAATTAGCCAAACAACTAAAAATAGAAAAAATTAGCCGGGCACAGTGGTGCATGCCTGTAGTCCCAGCTACCTGGGAATCTGAGGCAGGAGGATCACTTGAGCCCAGGAGTTCAAGGTTGCTGTGAGCTAGGCTGATGCCACGGCACTCTAGCCCAGGCAAGAGAGTGAGACTCTGTCTCGAAAAAAAAAAAAAAAAAAAAGACAAAATAAGTTTGGGAAACTCAGGGTAAATAATGTTAAAAATTTCCTCTACTCTAGACCTCAAAGCCTTTTCTATCCTCCTGTCCACTGTTTAGGAGAGAGATGGAATATGCAATGTTTTTGTATTTATTATTAATTAACTGATTTCTCAAATTTATTTGACCACAGAACACTTTTCTCCCTGGGGAACATGTATTATTAGCTCAAGGATCTAGTGTTCTGGAAAGCAGTTTGAACACCACAAGAGTGCAAGACACATACATATACTGCAATAAGGCTTTCAACCTATCCATTCATTTGGGCCCCTGGCTGGGCAAGAGAACAACCTTGATTGGCAGTTGAGTGCCTTGGGGTTTCAGTTCTGCTTTGGCTCAGGACCCAGGGGCCACTGAAGCACAAAGGGCTGGTGGTCGTGTTGGGGAAGTGAGATGTTACCAAGCCAAGATGCCCTTCCTAGAGGAAGGAGGCTGGGTGAGGGTGTTGTTCAGAGAGGGAGGGAGGGGAAGTGGTTTGACCAACAGAAAGTGAACAGTTTCTTATAGTCAAATAACCTGGGAACAGAGAAGGAGGGGAGAACAAAATCCTAATTTAACCCCCAGTGCGCTTTCTTCTTCCCTCTTCCATGCTTCTATCAAAAACTGCTGCTTCATCTTAAAAAAGCATTGACCACACACACACTGAAAATAAGACACATTTGGAGACAGCCAACTCCTCTGTGCCAGGAATTACTTCTCTTGGATGAATTCCACTCTCCCTGGCTCTCCTGACTCCTGCCTGCAGATGCGGATGCAGACAGATGTCTGAACTTGAACTCATGAGCAAGGAGAGTACTGCCAACACTCTGGTAAAATATTGTCAGCTGAGCCCAGAGCTGAACCAAAACCAGCTCAGGGGGCATTTGCCAAGCTAGAGATGCGTGACAGGTGTGGTCCCTCCAGGCCTGTGAGCTGGAGACCTACCACAACAGTACCCTGGAAGAAGTATCCAACTTCTTGTCTGGAAAATTTCCGAAATATACATGAGCTCTGTCTTGTCAAAGCTTAGACTTTAAACAGTCTTAAACATCATAAGAAGTGTGAATTTCTGGGCACGTTAACCCTTGGATTTTCCACTTCAACTGTGCAGTGATATGTCTTCTGGCCTTTATTTCCTAAAGGAAAAGCAAAACCAGATTTATATGTTTATTATGGAAAGTAGTCAAGTGTAGGAGAAATGTGGGGTCCCATTTTCAAAACCTGGATTCCTCGGTAAATAGCACAGAAAGTGCAAATACCAGAAGGGCTGGCTCTGTCACATCCGCACTTGTGTGCACTGAGTCTCCTGTCAAGTAGGAAATCTTATCTGAAATTGGAAGCAGCTGGGCAGGGAGTGGGCCAGTGGGCATTCTTGCTGACGGCCAGGACCCTACACAGAAAAGGGAGCAGGGGCTTGCTTCTTGGGTCCAACTCCAGAGGTCTCTTGTTTTCAGGACTCTCCTGGGACCGCACACAAGGAGGTAGCCCGATCTAGTCTTTTCTTCCCAATGTGGTTAACATGCACATATGCTTTTTCTCTTCCATGTGGAAGTTAAGAAGTGTTCACATTCTTCCATTGTTCCAGCACTGTCAAATTATTTTCAAATTTTATTTTATTTTTGAACAGGTAATGTATACACATGGTTCAAAACTCAAAATGATATTTAAAAATACATTTAGAAGTCTTGTTGCCACCACTGATGCCCTTGCACTCCATTATGCCACCTATATGTAACCATTTTGTTAATTTTTATATATCCTTTTAGTGATTCTTTATGCATATATTAATTCTTTCATCCAATAACTATTTACTAAGCACCTACTATGTTCTAGGCTACTCTATTTTTAGGAACTGTTTTAGGGATATATCCTCACCTTCATGGAGCAAAAATTCTTACTTTCATGGAGTTTATAATACAGAGCGGTGTAGACAACAAGCAATCAACATAAGAAAAAAGAAAACAATGGAGTCGGGAAGGATGGTGCTGTGGAGGTTTGAAGTGCGCACACTGCAATTTTAAATAGGGGATGATCAGAGTAGACCTCAGTGAGTTAGTGACATTTGGAGCAAATATTTGAAAAAGGTGAGGAATTTAGCTGCGAGGGTATCAGGGGCAAGAGCATTCTAGACAGAAGGAAGAACCCATACAAAGGCCCTAAGGAGGGCATGCCTATCACATTTAAGGAACAGCAAGGACCCAAGTGTGGCTACAATGGAAAGTGTGAGGGGAAAGTAGTAGGAGCCGCAGTAAGGGAAAGGGGGAGAAAGAGGACAGATCATGCAAGGCCTTGCAAGGCCCTTAGTGTTCACTCTGAATGTAGTGGAGAGCCCATCCCAGATTTTGAGTGACATGATCTGGCTCGTGTTTTAATAGAATCTCTGGCTGCAGTCTTGCGAATAGACAGTGAGGGAAGAAAGGGTGAAAGAGGAGAGAGGGTGGTTTGGAGACTCTTGCAATAATCCAAGCAAGAGGAGATGGTGGCTCAAACAAAATTGGGAGCAGTAGAAATATTACATGGTCAGATTCTGGGCATGTTTTGAAGTAGGCTCAAACGGATTGGATATTATTGGGTATGAGAGAAAGTGAAGAGTTGATGACGACTCCAAAATTTTTAAGCTGAGCAATTGGGAAAATAGAATTTCTATCAGCTGAGATGGGGAGGACTGTCAATGAAGCAAGTTAGGGAGGGAAGATGAGGAATTTGATTTGATGCACAAGTTAAGTTTTAAATGCCTTTTAGATATGTAAGAAGAGATGCCAAGTGGGTATTGGATCTAACTTTGAGAGTTCTTGGGTTATAAATGGTATTTAGCTATGAGACAAGATAAGATAGACAAAGGAGTGAGTATATATAGAAAGGAGCTTGACCAAGGGCTGAGCTCTGGAACATTCTAATGTTAAGAGTTGGAGGCAGGTGGGGAGAACAGCAAAAGAAATCTAGAAGGAAGAGAAGGAGCAACAGTAGGGTAGGAAAACTAGGATAGAGCCATGTCCCAATGCCTAGCGAAGGAAGTTTCTGAAGCAGGAGGAAGGGACAAATTGTATGCAGTTCTGCTGGTAGTCAAGTAAAACCACTCTGGCTTTAGTCATGTGGAGATCACTGGGGTTTTTGACAAAATGAGTTTCAGCAGAGTGGTGGAGGTGAAAACCAGGTAAGTGGGTTTGAAAGAGTTTGAGAGATGCTGAAGGCAGTTTAAGCGTAGACATCTCTTTCTGGGAGTTTTGCTAAGAAAGGATGCAAAGAAATGAGGCAATAGCTGACGGGCAGAGTGGAGTCAAGAGAAGGAGTTTTCTGAGCTGGGAGAAACAAGGTGTGCTATTGTGAAAGACCCAGGAAAGAGGGGAGAACCGCTAATATAGGAGAAAGGGGATTCTGGAGTAACAACCCTGAGTAGGCTTGAGGAGACATCCTTCCCCTTTATTATAATTACACCTTTCTTACCAAAGAGACCCTTTGTGTCCACTGTTCTGCTCCTGCCTTTGCCACTTAACAATCTGTGGTTCTTGTCATATCAGTGTGTGGACAATTTCTTCTTCCTTTTTTTACAGCTGCATGCTATTTCAGTGGAAGCATACGCCACGGTTTAAGTAACTAGATCCCGAGTGATGGGCACTTGTGGGGTCTCCACACTTGCACTGCGTGTGCTCATCCCGCGTGTGTCGGCCATGTCGCTGCCTCCACCCAGCTGCACGTGTGCTCATCCCGTGTGTGTCGGCCACGTCACTGCTTCCACCCAGCCCGTCGGCTCTCGACACTTCCTTCTCTCCTCTGGATTTCCTGCTCTTCTTTATCATTGTATATTCAAATTAGTTTTGCCCAGTAGCACTAGGAATGTACTTTAACATAAATATAAGATAAATATAATAGCTCTTCTTTTATTTCTGATAGTTGCGTTAGACCAAAATAATTGTTCAGATATATATAGGGCTTTAATGAAAGTAGATGTCACGTGGCCATCAGTAACATTTGATTTGGGCTTTTCAGTTATGGTGACGGAATACGTTCACTGGTCTTTGGAGGTGCTTTTCCAGATCTTTGCACTAGGAATCTTGTTGGAGATCTTCCTTATTCCCATGTTCCAGGGGGTCCTGGGTCCTCAACCACCACCCCTCCCCCAGCTCACCCATTAGTTTTTGTGCACCGTTGGCCCTGAAACAATGCGGGTTTGCCCTGCGAAGGTCTGCTAATAGGTGGTGTTTTTTCAACCACATGCAGACGGAAAATACGGTTTCTTGGAATATAACACCCGCCAATGTGGAGCGGCTGACTGTGCATATTTGCGGATTCCACAGGACTGACTATGGGACTTGAATCTGTGTAGATTTTGGCGTCTGTGGGGGTTTCCTGGAACCAATTCTCTGCATACTCCCAGGGGTGACTGTATTTGGAAATGACCTCTTGCTGTATCCAGTGTTATGTCTTAGAGAGCTGGCACTTCCTAGCCGTTCATGATTGCTCAATGTTTTCTGACACTAGTCATGGGATGTTTTCCCCCCTAGATCTTTGGAAACACCAAGTCATGAAAGAAAACTTTTCAGTCATAAGACCACAGATAGTTGAAAAATTTATACAGAGATTAATGGAGGATTACCAGGATGGTGGACTAGAGGTATGTATTGAAAATTAGTCGTTCTGTGTGGGGTTTTATTTTGACATAAACCCAAATGAGGAAGACTTTCTCATTTAGTGCATCTCCTAGTGCTTCCTTTACTCTGTAAGAATGATATGAATACTGAGGCTAAACCCAAAATAGTAAACAATAGTATTTAATTTTGGAAAAAAGACTGATTTCTAGTAAAAATATGAGTAATTAAAATACATATGTTGGCTAATTTCAAATTTTGTCAATTTTTTAAAGTAACATTGCAGTTTATTTATGAATGAATTGATTTTTAGCAACATTTTCTGTTGTTAATGTAGAAAATTTAAAAGAGGAAAATCAAAATAGCCTTTAATTCCACTACCTAGAAAACATTTTTCAAATGTACAATATGAAAAAAATCCAACAACACAGAAAGGTAACATTTTCACTCTTCCCCACTCCACCATCCCCAGTTTCCTCTATGCAAATGAAAACCACATCAGCAATTTTTGTGTGTGTCCTTCCAGAAAAATATTTGAATCCATAACAACTCTATATAATATCATCCTTAACGATAGTATATTTAATACATACACACATGCATACACACAATCCTTGGAGTTTTGAAACATGTTTGCTCTTAGCAACAAGTGCCTTGCTAAATCAAAGGAACCTACTGAAAAGGCAGGATGATAGAGTGTATGTGGATATTTGGCCATAACAGAGCTTTTAGGAGTGTTAACTAAATGCCTTAGGTAGATATGAATCCACTTTCCTTTGAAACTCAACTATTTTTTTTAAAAATCTGACTTAGCAAAATGTACTCCATTTTTTAAAACAATGTTTTCTCCAAATTTATATTTTTCTACGTTCTTCACATGTTCTCTGTCATTTTATAATACATCCAGTATTATAATACATTTTAATGGAATACATTTTATACATTGTAATGTAATACATTTTATAATACATCCAGTTCTTAATTACAAGGTAGAGAATCCGTAAGCTTGATTAGGGATACATTTTTCCTCAGAACTTGGGATTTATATGTATTTGTTTGAGCTTTCGATTACCCACAAACATGGTACTCTGACAAGAGGGCGAAATGGTTTTCCATCCTCAAGATACAGAGGTGATTTATGGTGGGGCATTCTCAGAAAAAGGTTTGAATCAAAAAATTTTGTGGCTCACCTTAAAAAGGAAGGAAATTCTGACACGTGCTACAACAGGGATAAACCTTGAAGACATCATGCTAAGTGAAATAAGCCAGTCACAAAAGCACAAATACTGTGTGATTCCTCTCATATGAGGTACTTAGAGTGGTCACATTCATAGAGACAGAAAGGAGAATGGTGGTGGCCAGGGACTGGGGGAGGAGGGAAGTGGGGAGTTACTGTTTAGTGGGTATAGAGTTTCAGTTTGGCGGGATGAAGAGTTTTGGAGTTGGATGGTGCTGATGGTTGCTCAACAGTGTGAATGTACTTGATGCCACTGAAGGGTACACATAAAAATGGCAAAATGGCAAATTTTATGCGTATTTTACCACAGTGAAAACAATTTTGTGGCTCAAGTTCTTCTCATCCCCTATCTGTACGCTTCACCCCAACATTGAAGACAGGACCTTGTGGGAAAGAAACGTGGGCATTCGTAGGCAGAGCAAACAACATCAGGCACAACTGAATTGGGGCACACTTGTAGAAGTTGATGTCAGCTGCCCAGTGTCTTGAAATCACAGCACCTCAGGATGCTTGGGCCCCTCCAAAGTCTGTGCCTGGTAGGCTTCTAGCCTCTTCTGGGTCATCTGCAGTGACGGGGAACTCACTCTTCCAAACCTGCCCCCTCTCCACATCCCCGGGCTGGTCTTGTTTTACTAAGATGGATTTGGCCTCTCCCTCATCTCCATCGTGGATCATCCATCACGGAGACACCACAGGTCCTGGCTCTGACCCCTGGCAGCAAGCTTTTAGATGTCAGAGGGCGGTTCAGTCAGAGTGGCTCAGTAGAGCCACTGCTAACATGCGTGAAGACCCTGCAAATTACCACGAAGGGCCTACCCTGGGGAAAATCAAAACAGGCGGATTACAAATCGTCACCCTTTCCTCCCAACAGTGCAGCCCTGGGCTGGCACGTGTGAACCGGAACATGGAGCAGTCTCTGGGCCCCCCTTCACCGGGGAGCCTCTGTGCAGGGCACGGACTGCTCACACAGACCTGGGGACCCCAGCCTGTCTGCTCTCCTTCAGACTAAGCCAGCTCCACTTCCCTCGGTCACTTTGTGTGAGCACCCTTGCCATTCTGATCAGTCTTCTTTAAATTCAAGCTGGTGTGGCCAGCAAAGAGTGCCCTAGTCCTGGGTGCTCTTCTTTGATTGACACTCATGAGTGCTGGCTTTTGGCAGTCATGTCACAGCCGATGCATTGAGCTGTCACCTGATGCCCACACATTACACTCAGCAGATGTTCTGTTGCTGTCCTGTCATTAGCCTTGTTCTTGTTCAGTTTGATCCATAACGTGAACCTGTGGAGATCTGTAAAAATCTGGATGTTTTTATCATCCAGCATACTCTCCCCCTCCCAGATTCGTGTCAGCCTGCCCTCAGTATCCTCATTCCAGTCACTAATAACAGCGTATGACAAGAAGGCCCCAAGCCCTGTGCAGCCCATTTGAGGTCCTCCCAGGCTATGCGGGTTCTTTGGACACAGTCTTTCAGTAACTGGAAGGTCATCCAGTTGTACTGTCCCCCAGCCCACGTTCTCCCAGTTTGCCTCTTAGATGTCCTACTGAAATCCAGGTATACTGTATCTGCTGTATTTCCTGAAGAAATAAAATTAATCTGACCTGGTTTTTCTTGAACCCATGTTGGCTTCTAGTGAGTTTTGTCTCCTTCTCCAAATTTTAGAAAACCAGCTTTCATGATCAGTTCTGACATCTTGCCCAAATTTTACGCCAAATACACTGGCCTGAAGTTAGAGATTGACCTTTTAGCAAATTAGAACTATAATAGTCTATTTTGTGGGTTCCAGAACCATTTCCATTTGTATGCCCAGAGTCATTCATTCATTTAACAAGTGTTTATAGATTTCCTACTTTTTCCAGGCACTTTGTTAGAGATATAAAGGCAAAAGTACAGTCCCTGCCCTCAAAGAGCTTAGGGAGACAGGTGGAGCAGCAATGTCAGGAAATGGCAGTAAAGTGCTTTGACAGAGCATGTGCAGGGTGCAATGTGAGCTCAGAGAAGGGGATACACCTAGCCAGCGGGTGGGGCAGGAAGTAGTCAGGGAAGGCCTGCTGGAGGAGGTGTTGTTTGGGCAAGTCTTGAAGCACAAAGATTTGGCGAGATGAAGAGAGGCAGGGGAAGACAGGCAGAGCAATCTGGGAAGGCAACATAGTGGAGCTGAGAGAAAGAAGGGCATTGGGAAGGTGGGCAGGGCCACAGGCTGAATGGCCTTGTGTGCAATCCCTGGGAATTTGCATTTTATCCCAGAGTCAAGGGGAAGTCATTGAAGTGTTTTGTCAGCAGAGGTGGATGTTTTAGAAATAGCCTCAGTACGCTTTGTGTGTACCTGATATTAAATTGATATGAAGTATTCCAAGATGAAGCAAACCACAGAAGCTCAGTTTGCTCCCAGCAGGCTACAGGGCCACATTTTTGCCATAACAAGGCCTGGCACCTGCCATGCTTCACCCCAGGCTGGCTCCCTCAAAGAATCCCTGGGGAAATCTGGTGCTCCTCCAGCCAGGGCCACCCATCAGGGTTCAGGTTTCAATGTCGGTGATGCAATCAGCCCAGTGGAGGGCGGGGCCGCTTACTGGGCAGAACTGGGCCAATGGTCCTCCTCTGCAGCTCTGAGGCCACCTGGGCTCTTGCAGGGAAAGTTGGCAGATGAAGCCTACTGGCGCTGCATTTTGACACAAGCACAGCTGATATTTACAGTGACCCAGGAAGGCAGGGACAGGTTGCAGAGCAGCTTTTAGGAAATAAATTGCTCTAAGAGCTCAGGTTTGTGCCAACAGAAGCCACATAGGCTGTATGTAGTCTAGCAGCAGACGTTGCTCCAAGGTGGCTCCAAGTGCTGCTTCCAGAAAGCTGAATGCACAGTCAGCAGGGCTGATGTCCACCTGGACAAAGGGGCTGCTGGCAGCCTGGGGGTCCCCTGTACCTCCCCATCACCTGTCAGTCACAGCTTCCTGTCTACCCCCCTCAGCCACACTCCCCATTCCACATCCTCCTGCAGAGCTCTGGCTGTGTCCTCTCCCCCTCTGGGTCACCCCCTCAGGCTGACCTTTTGGCTCACCTCCTGAGGCCCCAGCAAAGCCACTAAGAGAAGGAAGTAACAAGGCTTCTCTGCCTCTACAGGTGTTCAGGGGAGTCCCGGCCATCCCCACCTCTTTGGCGTTACACAGACTCACCAAAGGGTTCCTCACCCTTGCTGGGAAAGCATCATGTCGGCTAAGAGGATGTGGCAGAGGCCACCGTGGCTCAAGTCTGCATTTCTGTTTGTTTGGGATCCTATATCTGCAGGGGCTGTAATGGTGGTAGTTTGAGAAGTGTTTGCCTTGAGTAAGAGCTGTTGGAGGCCCTGTTGGCACACCCATGTCCTGGCACCGATGTCCAGGACATCACCCTTTACGGGTGAGTCACTGTGGCTGGCTCCGAGCACTGAGCCCTGATGAGGTCACTGGCCACACCTTCCTGGCCTCCAGTATGTCTTGTGACTTCTTGTGGCCCCAGGCTTCCATCACAGACCAGGAAGTGTTTCCTTTGTCGTTAGTAAACTCGTGTAGCCTTGCCTTTTCACCATAAAGGTCAAGGTCCAGGGGATAGAAACTTGTGTTCCCTTTGCCTTGTGTCAGCATCTCAACTATGGCTGCCCAGGTGCCATTTTCCAGGAGCTGGGGGTGGGGACGAGAAGTGTAACAAGCAGGATGGCCGGCCCTCACCCCTCCCTGCTGAAGGGGCCCCTTGAGAAGGGCCCTAGAGAGTGAGTCAGAGGAGGCTGAGCTCCTGCCCCCAACTGCCTGGCTGCTGCTCAGTAAATCCAGCCTGCACCGAGGTTTCCAACTGCTGATTTCGTTGCACATATATAGATTGCATCCTGCCAAGCTGGTACAGTTGATGACTTTAAAAAAAAAGCTTAACTATCTTTTAATTATATATACATTTTAAAATATGTTTACATAATTATTTTAATCATATAGTATATACATTATGATATTATAGTGTAGTAGGAAATACTCATGTCTTAGAAAATATACCCAGTCTTACCACTCATTGATAACCATTATTATTAATATTATTTTGACATATTTCCTTCCAAAATCTGTTTATAACCTTTTTCCTACTGATGCGCTTTTTGCTTTACAAAAAAGATTACATGTCCTTTTTTGATAGTGTGCTTTTTTCACTTGACTATATGTTATAAACATCTTTCCTTGTCAATAAATATGTGTCCATTTTTGGTGGCCGTTCAGTATTTCCTCATGTAGATGAGCCAGATGGAGTCAACTCTTTTCCATTGGTAGGCAATTGTTGCCATTTTTCTTTCTATTGGAAAATGTATAAAGAGCATCTGTTTACATATGTTTTTGTGTACAGCTTTTATTTCCTAAAGATAAATTCGTAGAAGAGGAATCACTGGATCAAGGCCTGCCCTCCAGCACATTGTGTGCCTCCCCTCCTCACTCCTTCCTCAGCGCAGGGTCCCATCACTGCTTGCCACCTCTGCTAGTTCGCCTCAATAATTTACCTTGAAAAAGCCCACTGTGAGCTTTCCCTGGAGGTCAGTGGGGCACTGAGGTTGCAATGACAGGACAAGCAAATCAGAGCTAGGGGGACCACCCAGGCTCCAAGGGCAGGCTAGCTTCTACAGCAGACTGCCAGTGGACCAGGGGCCACCCTGACCCTGGGAGTGTCACAGATACAGCTCACGTAGAGGACCCGCTGAGTGTCAGACTTGGCCACATAAGATCCCCAAGATACATACACAGATACATTCACTGATACCCGTAGACAAACACTTGCGTGGACATGCAGGTCCTAGTTGGGTAGATCAGTCCTACCTTCCGGGTATTGGCTCCCATTTCTCTCCAGAGCCTAAATCTAAGCCTGCCTTAGAGGGGTGGACTTTCCCCCTGTTCCATAATTGCTACCTTTTCAAAAGTATGCGCATTCTCCTGGAGATAGAGGAGATAGGTGAATGGAATTGCCTAGAGAATGAGCTGTGTGGCGCCTAGACCAGAGCAGGAGGGACCCCTTCCAGTTGCCCCATTCTTCAGAGGGCCTCTCTCTGGCCTTCCTCCTGCAATACCCTTCTCCACAAGGTAAGACATGCCCTGCGCCATGGGGACATGTCCACGCAGAGCTCTGCCTTCCTTCTAGACCACGCTCTAAGTACCTGGGACGCTGGAATTCCTTGAGTCCAGCGCCTGCATGGGCCTCCTCTCTGCACCATCCTCCCAGAGTGAGAGTGGACCTCACCACTGGTGTGCACACGCCTGGCCTGGGGGACGGCCAAGGGGCAACTGTAGGGCTGTGGATGGAGTTTGGACATGCGGGCTTGCGTGTCTACTCACAGGCATGTGAGGGCCCTCACAGCATACTGTAAACTGTAATTTGGGGACCAGCTGTCCCCAGGTCACCACACTGCAGCACAGAACTCAGAGTAGTCCAAGAATAATAAATTCAAACCTGGCCTTCTGTGTGATTTTGAAGGTCTGTTTCTCAAGGTAGGAGAATTAAACATTTCATTTTAATAGTTTGTTAGTTCGATTTATAACCTTTAAATATTTCATCATGTGCTATGTGGGCATCCATTGTTCTCTTATCCCCGGCCCTGCAGACCTGAAAGAGGTTTGCAAGGCTAGAGCCAATGTTTGGGGATGAAGGAGAAATGACAGCGGGTCTATGAGCCAAAGTGATGCATGCCCTGGCATGATGGGGCTGCCCTGCTAGAGTGGCTATGGATGATGCCCCTTCCTTTTCAGGTCACTTTCAGGAAAGACCACCTTGAAGCCTGCCTCCTTTCCCTGGGTTGTGATGTGATGGCAAGAGAGCGCAGCAACTTTGAGACCTACTCCATGTGTTACGAGCATGTGTTGCAGCATGCTACACAGAGGCTCTGCCAGAAGGAGCAGGTGGGCTCCCAGAGAGACACGAACTGCAATGGGGAATGGGTGTGGGCAGGGGGGCCCAGGAGTCACTCAGAAGTGGAAAGAAAAGCTGAGAGGGGGCGAAGGGGAGTGGTTTTTATACCAGAATTGAGGGCGATCAGTACTCTCTCCAAATTTGTCTTCTCATTGGCTCATTTTCTTGGGCTCTGGTATTCTCAGTTGTAAAGGTGATGGCCCCAATAACACTGGGTTATATGCTTTGGAGGTGTCCAATGGGGGACAGTGAAGAACAAAGGGGCCAGCCCCCCAGGGGAAGGTCAACAGCTGACCCTCCCATCCTCAGCAAACACAGGCACCTTGTGCTGCTCCTGGTCTAGCACAGAAGCCAGGATTCTTGAGTAACTTCTGTCCTCAGGATGCATATGATAGGTCAGTCTCACTGATGAGAGTCCTTAAAATGCGATCCCATTGGTGGGATCCAAGAGTCACTCCTCCTGCCCTGGATGACACACTGTTGTGAAGTAAATTGCATCAGAGGTTCAGTGTGGTTTTAGTTTATACCTAAGAAAAATGCAAAAGTCTTCAAGACTAGTCAAAAAATCAAATGAAGCATTAAAATGTCAAATAATACGTCTGGGATTCACCCACATTTTAGCTTATCCCCACTGCTGAATTCTCTGCATCAGTGTGGATACCTGGAAGTTGATGTTGTCTTTCGATGCTGTGTTGGACATCCTGAAGTCCAAGGGACAACAAGCATAGTCTTGGCTCCAGGCGGAGCCCAGAGTTCTCATGATGAGGCTCCATGAACGCAAACAGGAGGTGTCTGGAGTGTGTTACACTGAACTGAGCCATGGTTCATGTTTGAGTTTGGTTGTGCCCTGCTTTCTCGTCCTCAGGAATTAGATGCTATACGAAGAGGTCAGGGTCCACCTGAAGACCATGCTGGCCAGGTAGGCCATTTACTATTATATTAAAAAGGTTCTCTTCTCCATTTCTCACATCCACACACTCAGGGTTAGCCAGAAGTGGGACATCTTAGTGTCATTTGTTTGTGTCACCTGTAGAAGTCCCATCAATGAAGGTCCACTACAGAAACACCTGAGCAGTGTGCTTTTTTTTTTTTAAGCAATTCTCCTTAGAGGGCATTTTTGCTTGCAATTTTTGGTTTGTGTTTTTCGGTTGTATTGATTTTCTGTTGAGTTTTTGTTGTTATTGTGGGGAGGGGTGTTGTTTTTGTTGTTTGTTTTCTTTGGAGCCAGTTAAAGTACATTCCAAAAAAGAAGGGGTATTTGGACTAAGGTGTCAAGGCAAGGTCAGTTTGGAGTTGGAAGTCAAGACAGTTGAAGTATTTTCTTCAACTAAAGAGTGCTTAAATTGTGGTATTCTGGGGTCATTCATTCCTCAACCATTTACTGAGCGTGTACTAGTGTCTGGCACTGTTCTGAGACCTTTGAATCAACTTAGATTCTTCTGCTCACATTAATGCAGCAGGATGTTCACCTCCTTCATTAGGTTCAAGACAGACGTGCAGATTCAATAGTAATCTATGAGCAACTATTTTGTAGTAGCAGTTTGGAATTCCTAAATTATTTTCCATGTATATATTTCTCCTTCTAGGTTGCAGAGCTTAGTCACGATATGATCATGGAAATCACTGCTCTGAGAGCCCAACTCACAGACTTGGAAGAGGAGAATCTGAATCTTAAAAAGCAGATTAGAAAAGAAGTCCAAAAAGAATATGAAGCATTGGTCCAAGCTTTGTTTGCGACCTGTTTACACATAAAAGTAAGTGTCATGTGTCGAATGTCTAGGAAGCCCATCCAGGAGCCAGGCATAACTGATTTCCACAGTGGCTGCACACCTTGGGATCAATGATAGAGTGGGCTTTGTGGTAACAAGAAATTCTTAGGCCCAAGAATTTTCCATCTCTAAGCTTTTGCTGCAGAGGGAGAGCCAGCAATGGGTTGTCATTATTTTACCATGATAGACACTGAATTTTGGATAATTTAGCTGTTTATTTTTCACACTCTACTGCCAGTTGCCATTGTTGCCATCTGTTGCTGTTGGGAGGAGGGGGGTGTTCTGCTGCTCCAAATCCCCACCGGTTTCTACCATGGTTTTATCTGTCGAGTGTGACAACCCAAACAGGAGAGTACAGTGTCCTGGGCCAGGCCAGACCCCATGTAGGTAGCAGCAGGTGCCTTCTAAGAGCTCTCTGGGCAGATTTAGAATTTGAATCAGCTTTTAGAGACTTTTCCAACCCTCAAAACGCTGGCCAGACTTTCTCTCACATTCAGTGTCAGGGAGCTGTTGATCTGTCAGCGAAGACCCATCCAGAAGAGAAATGATGGGGTGCCATGGGCCTGCAGCACTGTGGAAGCCAATTGCTTTCATGTGATGTCTGAGCAGCCATAAGATAGATGCCCCATGCCCAGAATGAGCCATCAGGGAACCTGGTCCAGCTGCCCCACCAGTGCGAATCTCAGTACAAACCTACCATCCCCAGCCCTGCTCCCTTCCCTGCTATTGGATGTACCCCAAAGCCAGCCCTGTTTAGGTCCTTACCTCCCTGTCACTCCTCGGGGGTTCCAGAGTGGTCCGTAGGGTAGTTATGTTAACAGGAGCTTCCACCCATGCCCACCTTGGCCTGGTCATTCCAGAGAGGATTGGAGATTTCGTCTTACTTGTAATACATAGTGTTTATAAACATTAAAGGATCAAAACCAAAATGTATTTGGTCTGGTGCTGTAGGAGAGGGATGAGCAGACAGTGGAGGCTGGAATTTGCTAGGTGATCTTTTGAATGTGAGATTATTGAGAATTTCCTTAAGTTCCTTCTAGCTTCTGCCAGATTTCTGGATAAAAAGTGGACTCTTTACTACTCCCAGGCTACAGTAGTTCTACCAAGTCCCCTAAAGTAGGGAATCCCTGTTCTACCCTAGGGTCCCAAGAAGGTGGTGAAGCTTCTGCTGTGTGGCCAGCAGCCAGGATCCCAGCTGGGCCCTGTCTCCTGCCTTCCTCTCCAGGGAAGCAGTTTAGAAGTGGGAGGACAGCCCTGTTGCTACCTCTCACCCAAAGGACACTGAGTGTCTTATCTTCTCAGGCTGCTATAACAAAATGCCACTGACTGGGTAGCTTAAACAACAGAAATGTATTTTTCACAGTTCTGGAAGCCAGACATCTCAGATCAGAGTGCCAGCATGGTCTCTTCCTGGCTTACTGATGGCCACCTTCTCACTGCGTCTTCACATAGGGGACAGAAAGAAAAAGATCTCGATCTCTCTCTCTCTCCCTCTTACAAGGCCACAGTCTTATCAGAATAGAGCCCTACTCTTACAACCTCATTTTAATCTTCATTACCTCCTAAAGATCCTATCTCTAGATACTGTCACATTGGGGGTTAGGGTTTCAACATACAAATTTGGGGGAGACACAATTCAGTCCACAACACTGTGTCTGCAGTTGTATTTACCACTGATCAAGCTGTTATTATCATAGCCATTAGCCATAAGCCACTCAGAACAGAATGTTTCAAGATGAGGTTTTTGCTGGAGCCTAAATAGGAAGGGAGCTAGCCCAATTCCTTCCTCCATTTTATCTATATTTAATGGAGTTCCTTGGTGGCGGCTCATTGACGGCATCTTGTCTGGTCAGCTTCTGCTCTGAGTCAACTTGACAGCAAAAATCCTCACTTCAGCTTTCCAAGCAACTCTTGCAGGGGCAATTTGGTCAGCCAGTCTTCTACCTGTGCCTCCCACTGTCCTGCTGGCTCTGCTAGCCTGGGTGTTGACAGGAAGGCACGCTCTAAGACGTCAGCTGTCCGATTGAGGAAGCCCCATGGACAAAGGAGAACCCTCGCAGGGCTGCTGGCGTGACCTCCACAGAATGTGTGTTAGAACCACTGTCCGGGTGGATGATATTTCTATGTGAAATCACTTCCAAAGGTTAGGTTTTAGAAGGCAAAATGGCTGTTTCTACACTGCCCTCTACTCCACCTAAATCCATTTTACTTCCCTGACTTGAGTCTGCAATTTGCAGGAGAAGCTGGAAGAGAATCAGCTTAACTTGATCCAGAATGTGTGTGAGCTCATCGGCGAAGTAAGAACAGAAGGGATTGACAATATGAAGGACCTAAAGAAAAAGTGGGGCTCTGCCAGACCTGACGAAGGAAGGAAAGAAAACCCAGCCAAAGTATGTGATTTCATTTAGCAACGGGATCTCAGTGTTTCATCCCAGCATCTGACCCCACTGTTCACCCTGTTAACATTCTGGTCTGATTTCCCTGAGAAAGCATTGTAAAGGGGCCCTGGGACTCCCTGCACAATTGTGTCATCTTCTGGAAGGCACGTTTCTGAGGTTAGGATTCATATCCTTCCTGGGAAAGTGTTGGGGGCAGCCTTTTCTGAAAGCAAGCCTTCTTAGCAGGAGCAGCTGTGGGCCTTGGAGCGGGATAACTGCAGCCTGGCCGCCCTGGTGTGCAAAGTGAGGAGCCTGGGTCGCTGGAGGCTGGCCGTGCAACAGGCGCACTTCCGGGCCCAGCTGAGCAGGGCAGAGAAGGTGAGCGCTGGGGAGGGAGGCCCGGACCGGCCCCAGGGGCGGCTGGCCCCATGCAGCCTCCATGGCTGCAGCTGCTGCACTGGTGGCACTGGAGTCGAGTGGTAGGGCCAACAATCCTGAAGGATCTAACAGCTGGCAATTTTTCCTGGGAACAGGCAATGTCAGAGCCTTGGGAGAAATGGAAAAGAGGCAGAAGCAAATGGCAAGGAAGAGCAGATCAGAGAATTTAGTACAAGGGGAGTGGAAAGATGAAAGAGAGACCGTACCAGGGCTGAGGCTGCTTTGTCAAAATACTGCATGTCTTTGGGTGTCATACATGATTATCCGAGGAAAGCGAAGTACAAAATAATAAATGCAAATGAGGAAAGCGAAGTACAAAATAATATATGGAAAATCTGCTTTAAAGCAACTTGCAACCAAAGCACATATTGATAGCACTTTGGAAACTTTCACTTACTGTTTCTGAAAGTCTATTTGGTCTGATCTGTCACACTATTCTTAATTAAAATCGTGGAAGCAGTTACCTACAGGAGGTCCTTTCTATTAATACCAGAAGTTTGAAAGAAGGGTGGGTGATGAAGTAGTTTAGATACTGCTTGTGAAGCTCAAAACATGGAAATGAAACTTATTGCCTCTCTTACTGTGTTTGGGATGTTTACAGGAATCCATTCAAAGTAAAAAAGAGTATTTGAGCATCAAGCTGATGGCAGACCAAGAAGTGGGTTTACTTCGCCAACAGTTACTGGCTCTCAGGCAGGCCCTGGCCAGGGCGCAGGCTGACAACGTGAGGATGTGGAAGCAGCAGGGTGACCAGGTATCTGAGCCTCAGACCCTCTTCCTCCCTCTCTTGGAATGTGCTCTGCAAAGCCGAACGTGGCAACTAGAAGTGGCACCATGGCTGCCAGTAGCAGTCACCAAAGCCACACAGATGGCATAGCCAGGAAAAGATGGCTCAGACTTGGGCTTCCCTTCTTCTCCCTCCTTTGCAGCCCAGAAACCAAAGGCAGTGGCCAAAAGGCTGTTGTTCTTACTCGTATTTGGCTAAGATGATAAAATATTACTCATAAGCAAGATCATTGTCTTGTGTGTGTGTGTTTGTGTGTGTGTGTGTGTGTGTGTGTGTGTGTGTGTTTGTGGTGTATATCCATCTGTTTGAGGATCTTTTTGCCCAAGGGTGTCTTGGGATCTAGGACTCTGCCTTGAACGCAGGACTTTCATGGCACAAGCTCACTTTCCGTTGACAGCAGCTCTGCACGTGGAGTGTGGCCCAGCCTTCATTATTGTCCCCCAGACGGAGAATCTTGAGTCCTGTCCCCATGAGCCACTAAGTCTTACTTTCAGAAGTTACTACTGCTCAAAAGGGGCTGGCACCAAAGTTAAGGTGTTTTAAATCTAAGCTTTTCATAACTGTGCCAACCCTCTGAGCATGAATGAAGCGGAGAGACTCTGGGTTTAGAGTGAGAACAGCTGAGTTTAGATAACAGTCTGGGAAAGTCGGACATATTTAAGCATGAAATAGAATTTGTTCATCTTGGACCTTAATTCCTCACTGACCATGCACCAGGTGAGTTAATTGTGTAAAGTACTTGGAAAGTTTAAAGTCACCATGCAAATATGAATAATTATTAACATTAAAATTAAGTATTGATCATCTAGTACTTAGGATGCTACTTATTAGAAAAACTTTAGAACAGAACCAAATTATCACTACTTCTTTCCTTCTTTAACCATCTAGAATGTGACTTCCCGGAAGCTATTTTGGATGTCAAAACAGAGCCGAAATCAGACCCTCCCTTGCCCACTCAGTGTATGTGTGGCGTGACCCTGTCCACTGCTATCTCCTGATAAAGTTTCCATGACAATGTGAAAGTGATTTGTTATAGATATGATTATCAAGTTAGTAAGCTAATTAAGATACACATTATTATCAAATCTTGGTGTTAATAATACCAAACAATTTGGCCTGGTACTGCTGTATACGGGCATGCTCACTGTCTGGCTTTTCTTGTTTGTTCTACTCCCGTCCGACTATTGTCACAGGGCTTACAGCACAAATGCCAGGCCAGGCTAGGTCCTGGTGCTCTTGCTGCTGGCTGACATAAGACAGAGTAGTTGGGTTACATCACTGAGAGCCCAGGAATACACTGCATAGTTCTGCCCCCGGGCCACAAAGGAGGGGCTGGTTACTGTGATGTCCAACCTCTCCTGCCTTCTGCTGAGAAGGGCTCTGTGCCTGTTTCATTTCCTTTGGCTGTTTCCTGCCACAGGCTCAGTGGCTGAAGGAGTTGGAACACAGAGTGACCCAGGAAGCCCTCACCCGGCAGCAGCTGGATGTCATGAAAACATCCAGCATGGAGAAGCTCCTGGAAGATGTCGGGCAGAAAGAACAGCAACTGCAGCTCCTTACTGATGAGGCCGAGAGGGCGTCTAAGCGGGGCCAGCTGCAGCAGAAGAGAATGAGGAGGGAACTCCAGCAGGTACGCCCAGCCCCAGGGAGTGTCCATCAGCATCTGGGTGCCCCCGCAGGAGCCATTCCATTCTTCTCTGCTTTTCTGTGTCTCTCTCCTGCCCTCCACAGCAGTGTTTCTCAACCTCTGGCACTTCTAGGAATCCCAGGAAAATAGTAATATTTATACCCACATTGGGGTGATTGCTGGGCGAGCAATGAGAGCTTGACGGCCCCCTTGTAACCTGCTTGAAAAACATGTTTCTATCCAGCTCTAATCTTTGAACTAGGACTTTTAGAAAATTCCAAGAAGCAATCTGGAAAAGCAGCAAGTATGACAGAAGCTATTACGAGAAGATTTTATTCAAATGTTTCTGGAACTGCGGAGACAAAAATGAAAGGCAAAAGTGGTTTGTAGACACAATATATTATGTTAAATATACCCAACAGCAAAAAAAAAAAAAAAAGGAAATACTATTTAATATAATGTAGATGTGGATTAATGCAAGTTTCAGCAAAGCAGACCACAGAATGTGATTCGATAAAAAAGGAAAAAGAAAGAGTTCCCTACAGAGCAGGCACTGTACACATACCACTGAATGAGTAAATCACTTCATTCATTCACCAGTGATAACAGGAGACAGCAATTGAAAAGTTAAATTAAATTATTGGTCAAGTGTTTCAAGTGCTCAAGGAGGAAATCAGGCGAAATCTACAAAAATAAATGACGAAAAAGGTTAAAAGTTGAATTGAGGGAATGCTAAAGAAAATATTGGTGTAGAAATGGAGAGAGAAAATGAGTAGTTTTAGAATAAAAGAAATTTAGAATTTCATTGATTCCATGAAAAGTAAACAAAAATATGACCAAACCCATAAGAAAAATTTGGCATCCCACATTTGTCCTACACATTATGCTTTTCTAAGAGCCACCACAAAAATAGGGAGGTGCCTAGATTAGTTTCTTTGATAAATAGTTAATTGTTTTGTGGCAGAGACTCTAGAGGTAGTCAAAGCAAATAGTTTGAGGTTTCTCTCAATAAATACATATTTTCACTGTATGTATGTTAGAACCATTGGCTCTTTCTTAATTACCCCTACAGCTCTCCCAACCCCTCATGTACCCCAGGCGTACCCCAGTTAGCAATCCCCAGCCAGCAGGCACCCCGTGGCCAGCAGTGGCTTCTTTCAACCACCTCCAGCCTCTGACTCCACCGGCAGATATCAACTGTCTGACCTCAGAGAGCACAGGTGTCCTTGTCTGCCCCCTGCGCCTGGTGAGGTCACTTGGAGCACAGCCCTGGAGTCTGACTGCCTGGTTCGCACCCCCAGCCCTCCAGCTGTGCCACTTCGGGCAGGGTCTGCGGTCTTTCTGCACTTTAGTTTCCTCTTCAGTACGCTGGAGAGTGTGTACTCACCACGTGGGATCTGGGAGAAGATTAAATTAGGGAACAGGGCCTGCTACCCAGCTCTCAGGAAATGTTGGCCGTCTGTATTTCTGTTGGGAATGTGATGGTGGACAAGCCTTGGGAACAGGCAGATAGGCCTGGATTCAAATCCTGGCTCTGCCACTGGTCGCATGACCTTGGGTACTCACTGCAGCCACCTCTGTGAAGTGGGGTGGGGCGTGCTAACATGAGGTAGGTTGTGGGAAGGGTGTTCCTTTCCTTTGTTCCTATTCCTCACGTTTACTTCACGCTGGCCTGGCTCGAGAAACCTTGGTATGTTTCCCCGGGTTCCCACCCATGGGGAATGGGGATCCTACACAATCCTTGTATGTAGAGGGACTTTGGACCTCGTTTATATTAGCAAGTTTTCCTAACTCTGGAGCTGGGATAAACTTCTGAAATTTAAACTACACTTGACAGCCTCTACACACACAAGGAACAGCCCAATTTAACATTGTAGGACAAGGCTGTGGTCACAGCTCTGAGTACACATGGCCTTCTGGTTGGGTGTACACAGGCAGCAGTGGGACGTAAAACACACGAGGCTGAATTTTCGAGATGAGCATGTATATGCATTTCCTAGGTTATCATAACATTATCACAAACTGGATGGCTTAAAACAATAAAAATGTGTTTCTCTTGCAGTTCAGGGGCCAGAGTCTGAAACAGGTATTGGCAAGGTTGGTGCCTTTTGGAGGCTCTGAGAATCTGTTCCTCGTCTCTCAGCTTCTGGTGACGTCCGGCCATCCTTGTTGTTCCTTGGCTTGCGGTTACATCGCTCTAGCTTCTGCCTCCGTCACCATGGGGCCTTCTCCCTTATGTGTCCTATGTGTCTGTCTCCTTATCCTGCCCTCCTGTTATAAGGACAACGGTCACTGGATTTAGGGCCCACCCTAATCCAGTATGACCTCATCCTAGCTTAAGTATATCTGCAAAGACTATTTCCAAATAAAGTCACATTCTGAGGTTCCAGGTAGACATGAATTTTAGGTGTTACTATTCAACCCACTACAGTGTGTAGAGCTTTTTATAATTAAAAACAATTAGGAGGCCAGGTATGGTGGCTCATGCCTGTAATCCTGGAGCTCTGGGAGGTGGGAGGATCACTTGAAGCCAGGAGTTCGAGACCTGAGCAAGGGTGAGACCCTGTCTCTACCAAAAATAGAAAAATTAGCTGGGCATCATGGCAAGCACCTGTAGTCCCAGCTACTCAGGAGGCTGAGGCAGCAGGATGGCTCGAGCCCAGGAGTTTGAGGTTGCTGTGAGTGGTTGCACTCTAGCCTGGGTGACACAATGAGACTTTCTCTCAAAAAAAGAAAAAAAAAAAATTAGGAGATGATAAATTTAAAAAGCAAAATACCTGCAATCTATACAGAGGAGGTGCACATTGGATTCGGGGACTCTCTGGCTGGGGCACTGAGGGTTAGCAGTGCAAGGGGCCAGCTGCACAAGTGAATACAAAGGCTGCCTCTGAGGAGCGGCCTCTGTCAGACGTGGGAGATGGTGCCCAGGCATCCCCAGCAGACGCTGAACTGAGAGTGGAGATCCGGGAGGGAGATCAAGTCTTTCCTCCGCTTGAAATTGTCCAGGGCTTTGCAGGCCCTAAGTGTAGGTGCCGTGGCTTGGTCTCCAAGGTCCCAGGTGAACTGGGCCCTCACTCCCCTCTTCCTCTACCCATCTGGTAAAATAAACATGAAAGATATAATTTTGTGAATAAGCTCCTAGCTATTTTTAGGTAATAAGGGATTCCAAGGGCTGCCTTTGTTCCTTTTGGGTTAAGTTCTTGATCTTTCTGAAGCTCTTGATTCTCCAAAGGCTAAGTTCAGCCTGTCTAGGACTTCAAGAAGACCTGGTTCTCTTCGTGGGGGTAGCCTGGGACCCACAAGCTCCCTAGGAACGTTCGTGAACTGAGGAAACCAAAGTGAGCACCACGAAACATCTCTGCTTCTCAAATGCTTTTCCCCTCAGATGAGAAGCCGGCTTGCCCAGGAGCGCAGCGTGAAGCTGGATGCTTCCCAGCGTGTAGAAGAGCTGCAAAGTCAGCTTAATGACGCCAGGCCATCGTCCGTCCAGATGAGCTCACCAGGAGGTAAGGATATCCCTTCCTCTGGCTAGAAAAGTCTCCCAGTCTCTGGGGTCTGCATTGAAGGAAGGTCTTGGTGACTACCAATGACAACCCAGTGGTTATTGAGTGGGTCCTCCATAATGTTTATTGAATGAATGAATACACATGAATGAATATACCTTAATTCTGATTTACGGTCAGTCAGAACTTTCTACTTTAGTTTGCCTTGGAGGCCTAACATCCTGTACTAAAAGGTTTCAGTAATAAAATCTAGTCCCAGGAGTGTGTAATATATCACTTAAAGAACATTGAGTCCTTCACTAGATTTTGAAACATCTTAATACATTGGAAGATCAATGACCACATTTTTTTGATGTTATTCATAAAGTACATTATGATTCTTGGGTGCTGGGAGTCCAAGCACTCCCAATCAAAATAGATCTCTGGCAGTGCAGCCAGAAGGCAGTGTAGAACAGAAGCCAGACCCCAGGATGTCCCTAAACTAGCTTCCTCCACTATAGAAAGACTAAATATTATAAATTCTGAGTTCTCTTCTAGGTCTAACTATGAGAACTATCACCAAATATCAGCAACCATGACTAGTCGAGTGTTATGATCAGCCAAGTCCCTTCCTTCCTGTTTGGTAGCATAGTCTGGTGTTTGAGTGTGTTGGCTTTGGAGTAAGACAGCCAGAATTCAAACCCTGGCTCTGTCACTGCTAACCGTGTGAACCTAGGTTAATTAGCCTCTCTGTAAAATGGGAATGCCCACCCCAAAGGCTTGTTCTGAGATAGAATAGTGGCACGTAGTAATTGTGCTAATTTTGGTTACTACACTTACATACATGCGTTCGATCCTTTATGTATGCTTCCTTTTGGCTACTTCCCAGGGTGGATGAGCTGAGGAAACACAGCCTTTCAGAAGCAGACAAAGTCAAAGGTCAAGTTACTTTGGGTTTACCAAGAGCAGAGCCGGGCTTGGTGGTAAAGCTTCAAGGGTCCTTTTCCCTGCCTCTGCGTTGTTGCCTGGCCCTGACAGTGGGGGCTGGCGTCCCCTGCCCCAGCCCAAGGACAAAGAGGACCAACAGCACCTCAGGGCCCTATTTTGACGCCGACCTTCAGCAGTTCTGTGCCTCACACTGTGCTCTCTATATCGTGGGATTTTTCTCTCTCCCTTTCCCCTCTGCCTCCAGCCTGCCCAAGCATCTTTTTAATCCCTGTCTGGATCAATGTGTCTTAGTGTCCACGTCCTCCAACACCTGCACATTTGCGAGGGAGAACCAGAGCGAGGCACAAGGCAGGTGGGGGAGACCCTACTTCCCAGGACTGCAGGTGGGGCAGGAGGAAAGGGCAGCTCTTTTCCAGGAAGTCGAGGTAAAAGTTACTGCCAGGCCTCAGCCCCCATCTGCTCTCCTCTGCAATGAGAGGAGGGGCTTGAGGGGACAGCCAATTATCACCTACACTATCAGTGTGAGAGGGTAAAAGTCAGCCATCTTCCCACCCCTCCTTCCTCAGCTGTTGTCCTGCTGGAATCTCCAAGTGAGCCAGGTCTCCCCTTCTGCAGCAGCTGCAGCAACAACACCCCCGCTTCCCACATCAGAAGCACACACACGGTCAAGGGGCGAGCTCTCTTACTTGCTATTAACGAGGCTTCCCCCAGGATCTTGCAACTCCTGAGAAATTATGATTTGTGCTAGAGCAGTTATTCTCGAATTGCTTAAGGAAAAAAATGAAATCAATGGGTTCATCAAACTGTAGTTTTCAGAGGTGGACTAGCTAAAGGTAAGGTGGCTTGATCCAGGTTTGAATCACTTCATGAGGATGGGCTTCGGTCTCCCCCTGTCTGGGCTCTGACAGCTGGGAGCAGGAAGGCAGTGGGCCCTTCGGAAAGCGAGGTGCCTGCCACCCCTGTGGCCTCCAACGTGGCCAAGCTCAGCATGGCAGGAGCAGGTGTGGAGATGAGACAGTTAAAAAGAACTGAGCTCTGAATGGACTGACTTGGGTCAAGTTGCCAATTTTGAACAAATCACTGAAGCCGGAGACTAAGATATCTGGTGGGCTTAGGCCCATCTCACACGTTCCTCCGGGGAGCTGAGACGGAAGCAGCTCTCTCTCCTCCTCTCCACAGCAACTACTTAAAATCCTCCTTGTCTCTTCAGACCTTCATACACTCTCTTCCCACCCCTCAACCCTTCGTCTCCCACTTGACAGGGAAATTAGAAACCACTGGATAGGAACTCCCTCTCCTTGCTGTCTCCTGGTCACCCACGTCTATACTTAGCTGCTTCTCCTTCCTCCTGTGCAAATGGAAAGTGTGCCGTTCTCCTCTCTGGGCCAATCCTGTGGAGGGGAGCCCATGTGCTCCTACCTTCTCAGGGGCCTTGAGCTGTTCTTTATCTGTTTCCTTTCTACAAACTCATATCTCCCACCATGCGTCCTTCGAATCACACAACCAACAATTACTTACGGATCATGGATGTGCCAGGATCACAAAATCCACTGAAAAATAAAAACCTCCCTTGACAACACATTCCTTTTCCAGCTACTGGCCTTTTTTTTCAAAGTCAAACTTCTTAAAATAGTTGCCTATACTCACTTTTGTAATTCACTTCACTGTGAACTAAGTATTCAATATTAAGTATTATATTCAGTATTAAGTATTATAAAGTATATAATACTTAATTCACTCTTCAGCCCATATCTGTTAGGATTAAGTTAGTACATACAAAAAATAAATAAAAAGTAACAGTGGCTTAAACAATATGAAAACGTTATGTCTAATAAACAAAATCCAGAGATAGGCTATCTAGTTGGCTATTACGGTGCTGTCATTGGGAATCCAGGTTTCTCTCCTGTTTTGCCCTTCTCAATTTGTGGCTTCCACCTCCTGGTCCAGGATGGCTCAAGCTTTCTGGCCAACAGGAAGGAGGAAGGCTACAAGAAGGGTGCTTAAAGGACACTTCCCGGAAGTCACATATGACACATTTCTGTATATATCTCATGAGCCAACACTTAGCCCCAAGACCACACAAAGGAAACTGGGAAATGTGGTTTTTATTCCAGGACACCATGTGTCTAACAAAAAATGTGGAGTTCTATTGCTAGCGAAGAAAGGGAAGAATGGCAGTTGGAAGCCAAGTACAGGTCTCTGCCATACCAACAACAATCCGATTTTATCACCACCACTTCCTTGCAACTGACCTTGCCAGGATCGACACGTCTTCTGTGTCTCCAAGTCCGATGGACACTGTCGAGTCCTCGCTTACTTCGCATCTTAGCAGCATCTGAAATGGGTGATCACAGCCTTCTCCTAGAACTCGCTTTCCTCTGTACTTCCATGGCACCGTTCCTTGTGGTTTTCCTCTTCTTTCTCTGGTTGCTTTTCAAAGTCTCCTTTTCTAACCTCTCCTGCATCCAACCTCTAAACACTGGAGCTGTTCAGGGCTCTGTCTGGCTTCCTCTCCTCTCACCTCACATGTGGTTTCTGGATAACTGCATGTGTTCCCACAGGCTTAATCATTGTTTGCCGAGTCCACAACTTGAAACTCTCCTCTGAGCTCTACACCCATGTATCCAATGACTGCTTGACGTCTGCACTCACACGTCTCAGGCTTACAAGTTCAACAGGTCAAACGGAACCATCTTCCTCTCCTCCCCCCATGCTCACTCCTTTTAGGGCTGAGGGACGTGCTGTCCCAACAGATGGTATTGCCAAATATCCAGTTGCCTGAGCCAGAAATTCGGGAGCCATTCTTTCTCACCCTATGAACCCAGTTAATTATCAAGTGCTGTTAATTTGAACAGCTCTCAGCCTACCCGCTTCCACCTACTGTCCTCCAAGTCTCTCTTCATCTCCTTTTATACTTAGTCATGTGACCCTCAAGCAAAAAACCTCATCCAGATTTTGATATCTTTGCTCAAAACTGATGAAGCTGAAAAGAAAAAGCTGATGAAACTTGATTAGATGTCCATTTTAAGCTCTAAAATTTTGTGAATTAAATCTAGGCCTATACATTGCAACCAGAGATATAATTTAACATTTTTAACTTTATAGGTTTCATATCCCAGGGTCAGTACTCCCTAAGTTCTGCTTCCACACCATCCAGATACTCCCAGCGATGCTGTTTAAAGAGTAATCTCACAGGCAATAAAACGACAAGAAGGATTCCAAGGCCAAAGACTGTAAGTAATGATAAGTTTGGTTATATGTATGAAACAATGAAAACTTTAAATCTGGCATTATGGTTTTAGGGTCACTTCAAACTTACATTAGAAAAATTACATATCAGGATTTACCTAGGTACTTTGGATCTGGATAACAAAATTCTGAAGTCGAAATAATTAAGCTCAATAATAGCACCTGCTTAATTACAAATCAATAAACAGGTGTGGAAGTCTGTACCAACACCTTGCTATGGTCAATCTCTGAATTTCTTCTTTTTTCCCAATCATCTACAGTAATTAATTAATAGTGCCAAATCCCTTATCTGAGTTCCCTGCCAGAGCAGAATTAAGAGTTTCAGAAGTCATTTTATTTATTATTATTATTATTTTAGGGACAGGATCTCACTTTGTCACCCAGGCTGGAGTGCAGTGGCGAGATCATAGCTCACTGTAACCTTAAATTCCTGGGTTCAAGTAATCCTCTCGCCTCAGCCTCCTGAGTAGCAAGAAAACAGGCTCGCACCACCACGCCTGGCTATTATTTTTTGTAGACACGGGTTCTTGCTATGTTGCCCAGGCTAGTTTTGAACTCCTGGGCCCAACTGACCCTCCTGCCTCGGCCTCCCAAAGTGCTGGGGTTACAGGCATGAGCCACCATGCCCAGCCAAAAGTCATTTTAAAACACATGAGACATCTACCCTCCAAGGAAATTCTTGGAATGCAGATTAGCACATACTTGAAGAACTTTTTTAAGGCTTCAACTTCCAGTTTATGTAAAACAACATTCACATCTTCTCCCACTGCCTTGTGTACATTACGTTAATAAGTATTTTACTCTTTGCTCCATTATCTTTCAGAATCCTCCCTAGAGATTTATATATCTAATCAACACATTAAAGAATTCTTCCCCTTACCGTGAGAAAAATTTGAAGGAAAGGATTTAATCATTCCTTCAGAGAAAGTTATGCCATTCTATGAAGTCATTTGATAGTCTAATTCTGCAGCTGGTGGTCTAGTAATTGAACCAAAAGTTGCAGTATTTCTAAACATGCAGTTAAGAGAAGGAAAAAACAGGTTGGGAACATATCCAGTTGAGATCTTGACCTAGTGAGGGCCACGTTATTAGTGTGCACCTTTTGCTTCACTCACCAATCCCTGTGCAGTCATCTTTCCCCAGAGTGTGAAATTCTAGTCCATGTCTATTTGTTTGTGCAAAGGCCTTTTCCAAATGGAAGCGAAGTTCAGTTTGTACGTGTGGGACCCCAAGGGCTTCCAAGATTCCCTTCAACTCCCTTTTACCCTGAAAGCTCCAAGTACCCTGGGGGTATTGGTGATCACAACTTTCGTGGTTGAAAAGGCTGCTAAGTAGCTAAGTGTATTAGTGAAGATTCACTATACTTGAAAGGTTTAGGAGGGTGATGGTCCAAGGCTAATTGTTTGAGGAACATTGCCCTACTAAATAAATAATCCCTACAATGAAGTGTCTTGTGGGCCCATTGGCTTGTGTACAATATAGGAACCCCAAGCAAAAAGCTTCAGGGCCAGGAAAGGCACAAAATTAATTGGAACCTCTTCATGTCTGTGTAATGTCTGACTTCTTAAGCAAGGCCTATAAGACAAGTCAGATAAATACTGATTGAAGAGGAATTTATACATGGCTGAAATCTAAGAACACAATTTTCTAAAAAATAGCATTACACTAACATAAATGATAAAATATTAAGGAACTTGTAGATTACTCCAAATATGGGATGTCTTTTCTTCCTTAGCTGGAAATGGCTTTCCACTGATGGATTCATTCTTGACCAGTTCCCTTGATGTGCAAGAAGGCACACCAAATGGCCAGACCCAGAATGAATCAATGATCTCCATCTCATTAAAACCAGTAACCTTTTATGATGCTATAACAAACCACCCTCTTAAAAAACAGCAATATCTCCTTAATATTACAGGTGCCTATTAAATACAAAAAAAGGATTGATGATGTTTTCCTACCCAGTGTGGCAGAAAATGTTCAACTTACAGCTTTTCAAGTCCAAACAGCTCCATCCAGAATCCCATTCAGACCTGACTGGTAATCATATCTTCTTTTTCCAAGTTTTATTTCTATGGGCATTTTATGAATAAAAATGACTATAAACTTCATTAAAGCTTATATCTAATTTTTCTTAGCCGTATTTAGAAGATAGTGTTGAAAGACTGAGATGATTAGATCTTGAGTGCCCCAGATGAAGTAGGGTTTGGCCCTAGACTTTAAAACGTAAGCATGGATTTGCATTTTTACAAGCTACCCTTGCCTCTGGTCAACCAGCAGCCTCTCAATATGAGTTCCAGAATTACTAGGTAGCAAAGATAGAGGGCCTTGCTGCTAAGCAGTGCTTGCTAACAAGTGAAAAAACAGAGTATTTGAATAGAGATTAATCCAAATAAACTTCAAAGCATTTGTTTCACTTAAGAAACAATATTTGCCATCCTCTACTAACAAGTCTTTCCATTCTCCCTACAAATGCCAAAGCCTTCTGCAGATTAGTAAAGTCCTAACCCAGGTCTTTTGTTGTTTAGACAAGAAAATCTATCTTGGGTAAAGCAATAAATAAATAGATGAAGGGAACCAGAGAAATAGACCAGAGAAACATTTACATACATAAATTTATATGATATATGTGGCTTTTCAAATTAAGGAGAAGGTTGAGGCTAATCAGAATAAATTAAATTATCAATTTACACCGTACACAATGAATCCCAAATGTATTAAAGATCTAGATGCATGTGTGCACACACACACACACACACACACACACACACACTGATTTTTTGAAGCAGAATATAAAAAAACAAAAAGCCAAGAGAAAAATTGATAATTTTGATATCAAAACTAAAACTTCAATATGACAAGATACTTTGCCAGTTATTACTTTGTTACATCTCAGCTTGGGTTCATCCTTTATTGTCTGTTCTGCAATAATGAAAATGGACCCTGTAAATATTTCCTCTTTGACAGCTGGCAAGATGCT